AATTTTCCACTGCACACATTATGCCACTGCAAGTTCTCTAATGCTAGCATAACTATAGAAGAGTATTTTGATCACTGCAATAGAAATAGCAACATATTGTTCTTTTAAAAAGTCACTGTATCTTTCAAAATGTAGGTCACTTCTATTCAGAATACTTCAGGAACAAAAGAATTCCCCATTCCAGTTTTCTACCTTGGTTTAGTACTTTCCCAGTTTTCTTGCTCATATCCATTGCTTTGTATAGAAAGTGCTGTTAGGCTAGCAGAATAGCTGTGTTCTTAAGGTTTTTCTTCCTAACATTTTGCCAGTCTCTGTGGCCGGCATCTTCAGAGGACAGGAGTCAGAACAGAGCACAGACAAGTTCTGACTCCTGTCCTCTGAAGATGCTGGCCACAGAGACTGGAGAAACGTTAGGAAGAACAACCTTCAGAACACGGCCAAAGAGCCCGAAAAACCCACAACAATAATCAGAATATCCATTCTTAAAAGGTAGAGTGGAGCCCAGTTCTTTAAAGCTTGCATAAAATGGCTTGAAATATATGGATGGTGCCTGGTGACATCTCAGAAGACAGAAAAGTGAAAGAGTATGATTGTTGGGAACTCACAGGGCAGACTCGGTGGTTCTTGTCCCATTTCCCTGATTAGCAGCAGCATATCATTTGTGTTCTAAATAAGGAAATGGTTTTACAACTGCCTAATTTCTGCAAGTTGCAGAATTTCAGCATTTCTGGTTCAGAATTTTGTCTTTTAGTATATGTAGGCCAGCTTTTAGTATCTTCCTTCAGTTATTTCTTTAAGGCCTGTGGCCCTAAGAAATGGTTGGCCTGTTTACTTATTGTCCTCTTTCTCCGCCCTCAACATCCCAGTCAAACAGTGCCAGACAATGTGATGTGTTGTCCTTGGGCATCACTTGTTGGCCTTCCCTAATCCTTGAGTTGTGTTGTCTTCCTTTCTTTTCAGGTAACTGTACTCTGAGTTTCAGGGACCTTGACACTCTAAAAGTGCTTTTCTGATGGGAGTTGTGTCGTGCAGGATGCTGAGCTTAATTACCTTCCTGGGTCCACTGCTTTTATTTCTTAAATCCCACTCAATCTCTCTTCAGACAGCTGTATTGCAAATCAGTAAAAGGACCTGAAGCACATTTCTTACTGTCTTACATCATGGGCTTTCTGCATTCCCATCTGAGAACATTTTTTTCTAACATTGAGCATACCCAGGGAAAGTGGGAATTTACTAAAACTAACATTGAGATCTGCAAGAATCCCAGTTGGAGCCCAGCATATTCAGCAAATCCTCAGATTACAGATTCCCAGGATATCATGAAACAAAGAAAATGGTTGGTGAGAGCTGGGTCAGAGTAAAGTTTACAGAGCTCGACAAGGTAGCCCACCCGCACAGCTTCCCCAAAAGAAAACAAATCAACAAAGGACAAAGGAGGGGCGCTGATCGACATAAAATTGCATGTGTTAATTTATATGCACAGAAACCACATGAGAAATGTTAACGGTTTAAACAGAATCACAGTACATCTCACCTGAGTAGGGGCGACTGTGAGCAGGTAACCAGTGAGACTGCTGAGTTTGCTGTTCACAGGTAACAGCAGGTAGACGATTCCAGGGTCCCCAATTGCCCTCTTTATAGTTCTTTGTTGTTGGATCAAACTTGCACTGCACAGCCTTTCAGGTGGAGGACACTTTGAAAAAGAGGACCGTTTTCTGGCAACCCTTTAGCAGAGGACTCTCCTGTGTACAAGAGGCCATGTGGCCACCCTAGACATAGACATACCTTAGGGTTCAAGGATTCGCTGTCATTTATTCATGATATATGTCTCACCTGCACTTGTTTTGTCTTCAGAAAAGACATCATACTTCATGTTATCCTCAGTCAGTAGAGGGAGTTGAGTATGTAGACGAGAGTTACATTAATAGGTAAGTGGTCAGAGTGACCAGACTAACTGTTACCATGAAAAGCATTGCAAGTAGGCTTCCTACACAGACATTGAGGCCCTGGAAATGTGATGTACCTAGTGAGACCTAAAGAACCCCATTTTGCAGGGATGGAACCGCAGCAGAGGGCAAAAAGCATAAATAACCATGAATTCAACCTTCTTCCCGATGAAATTAAACTGTTGTTTTCTCAGATAGGGATTAAGAGTCTCACCCTGGGGTTTTCTTCTGCTGTGTCAAACTGTATCTTTTCACCAGCTGCAGGGGGGCCAAGAGGAAATAAAATGAGGTGCTGAGGGGCTGGATATGTAAATGTGCAAGAATTTAGATCCCATCTGTTTGTTTTCTCTTTTCTGCTGTGACACATTCCTAATTAAGAAGAAGGCACTCCCTGATGTCTGAATTTGATCACTCAGCAGTGCATAAACAGCTTTGCAGATTCTGACAGGAGAAGATGGATAGGTTCTCTTATTTTCCCATTCCCAAATACTTAGATAAACTCAGCTCACTGCACAATTCTAACTCTATAGAGCCAGGGCTGTGTGTCGCTTTATAAATATTGGCTAGCTCCCTCTGGAGAGGAGGCCCTTAGCAGACTGCAGCAGCACATACTGTTTGATTAATCAACTCAGCCCAGCAGCAGATGTGACTTGAAATCCAAATTCCTAGAGCTGTGAGCATTTCAGTGCTTGAGCTCTGGAGATGGTGACTTTTAATTACAGTGGTCAGGACTCGGCAGCCAGGAGGCACTAGAACTTGCATGTCACAGTCCCTCCTGGAATTTTCTCCCTTCGTTGGAAACCAACATAACTAGTACTCATGTATCATGTGACCGGTGAATAGTCTGTAGCTCATGCACTGCATGGAAATTTCGAACACCTTTTATTGGGCTCCCCGAAGCCCTGCCTTACTTTTCTCTGCTGCCAAAGCAATCACCTTTCATCTGGGTGCCAAGAAACAGGCTGATGTTTGGACCCCCTGCTAATAGTGGGAAATAGACATCTTCATCACAGTCACTTGAGGAGAGGGGGCCTTAATCTCCCCCCCCCATGCATACAAGATCACTTGCCACTATTCCTAGTGATTATGCACATCCACAACCAGATTTTTAATTATATCCAGATTTTCTTACTGATACCTGTAACAGCCTCCTTATACCTCACAAAGGGGCCATTACGTCACACTCAATCACTCTTCAGTACCACTGCCACCAACCATTCCCTCAAATGAAGCTTCAGGCCAAAGTATGATTTCAAAATAAAAATAAGATTTATTGAATACAAACAAAAGGAATGGTAAATCACTTGTATGTAAATAATAAGTCAATCACTATAATAATATAACTGTCACACTCACAGACTCTCACTATATAGCACAGTATCACCAAGCCCAAACTGTTCCTATCTCTAAAACCCTATCAGACCCTATCACCAAACCCTATCTAACTCTCTCACACCATTCACTCCCCTTATATACAACAGCTCCACCCCTTAAGTCCCACCCTCCGTCACACCATTGGTAGATGACACTCAGCTTCAGCAGTGACGGGCAGGCGATGTCATAGCTGATTATGCACATCCACAACCAGATTTTTAATTATATCCAGATTTTCTTACTGAAACCTTTAAGAGTGAAGTATCCCATGATGACATCATCCATATAACCATGGCCGGTGTTCAGTGTTCATCTTTGAAAAAAGTTATTTTTGCCTCCTTAGAATGTTTTGGTTAATCTATATGTGGATTTCTAGTTGACATCAGAGTACTAGAGCTGTATTTATGTGGAAAAGATGCAGAGTGTCTAGACTGAGAGAGTTTGTTTGGAGTGCCATCAGCTCTTGGAGGATCGTGGAAGAGTTCAGGTGGCAAAAGGATACCATTCAGGTTTCATTACTTGTCGTAACAGAGTGGAACAAAAACTTGCTATAAGACAGTGGTTCCCATCATAGGAGTCTCCAGGTGTGCTGGACTTCATTATACATGCCCAGTGGGCCTGCGGATGATAACAGTTGTCACCCAGCACATCTAGAGGGTGACAGATTGGAAAAGGCTGACATAACTCCATTCTTTGATGAATATGGTAATAAGATAATGACAAAGCTAGATGTATCTAAAATGCATGTGAGGGAGAACTGTAAGGTGAAGTGTCAGGAGCTAGAACCAAGAGTGCAAAAAAAAAGTTGCAGGAGAAAGCATGAATCTGCCCATTGGTGTTTGTTACTTACTGGAAGGACATGAAGCTGTCTACCTTGAGCATGTACGGCACCTGTAGCTGCTCCACCCCAGGCTTAGCATGTAGAGCAGTGACAGCCCAGGGACCAAAACAGCCAGTTGCAGCTCTGATGAGAGAAATGAAGAAGGCTTTCTATCTGTGAAACAACTTCAAAAAGACCGATACGTGTGACATGATGTTCAGAACAGTTATATGTCCAGAAGGGCTTTGGACCTGTGTTTTGTCAGGGACGTGGTGGTGCTGCGGGCTAAACCACAGAAGCCTGTGCTGCAGGGTCAGAAAACCAGCAGTCGTAAGACCGAATCCACGCAACAGAGTGAGCTCTCGTCGCTTTGTCCAAGCTCCTCACCAACCTAGCAGTTTGAAAGCATGTAAATGCGAGTAGATAAGTAGGTACCATCTTGGTGGGAAGGTAAAACTGCGTTCCCTAGTCCCCCTGGCCACGTGACAACGGAAACTGTCTTCGGACAGGTGCTGGCTCTATGGCTTGGAAAGCGGGATGCGCACCGCCCCCTAGAGTCGGACACAAGTGGACTAAAAATGTCAAGGAGAACCTTTATGTTTACCTTTGTGAGGAATTAGCTCTACCCGAAAAACCTAGCAACTTGTTTTGAAATTGAAAGGACTTTTCAGTGGGGTTGCCAGTTAACATGGGGGAGGAAGGCAGGAGGAGTATGTAGCAATTAAAGAAGGGAGGGAATCTCACTAGGCATACTCAAGTCCTTAAGTACACTCAGAGTAATTCTTAGAATCTGTAACATGATACAGAATAGCTGTTCCAAAGTAACTGCTGATTGTTAACCTCCTTTTCCTTTCTCACAGGCTACAATTGGAATTGACTTCTTATCTAAAACCATGTACCTGGAAGACCGGACGGTAAGTGGCAGAAGTTCCAGAGGAGCTGACATTCGCAAGCTATATATGAAGACAGAAGGAATGCACAACTGCAGAGAGGATTGTAAAGCTAACCCCATATTCCAAATAGGCCAAGATGTCCAGTGAAACATTTGCAGGTGCTCTTTCCTAGCATCACTCCTCACTGGCTTGCTTTTCATACAATGGCATCTATCTTTTTTTTTAAAGGACTATTTTAAGGAGCACTGTCTCTTCTTGACATTCCATTAAAGCAACCTGTTCTCAGATTTTGCAGAGTAGAAATGGAATGATGGAACAGAAATGAGAAGCTTTTGTAATGTTTGGATTACAATTCCCAGAGTTCAACCTGACTGTGGGTTTCTGGGAGGCACTGATTAAAAACAAGCAAACAAACAAACAAATGTTTCTCCATTTCTTCAACTGCACATATCTTTATCTAGCAATAATCACCTTCTACGTATTAATATATCATGACTCTTGGGTTTATGTATCGTACTTTAGCTAGGAGCCCCATGGACTACTGCAAAATTCCAAATTAATTTTGCTTAGGATATGGTTCAATCTGAGTTTGGAAGCTTTTGTACTAATGCTAATATGCAATCAACAATTCTGTATATATGCTTTGTACTAACCCTTCACAAAGAGAATCTGGACAAAAAGCACAAACCTCCCTTTACCAGTGTTTGTGAAGCTTTCTGTCTTCAGAGAACCCTTTTTTAGATTAGTTTGCCTGCTGAAGAACCACATTCTGTCATGGAACCAAAATACATTGCACAGGATTGAGAGAGGGATTTTTCATATGGAGCACTGAACAGGCTTACTGAATCTTACTGTTGCTCCCCTCCCATTCGAACTATGTGTGTGACCTGCAATCAGAGCTTAGAAGGATTTTTGGACTTTAGCCTCACCATTCTCTCAGCCGGGATGGTAGCTGTCCATAATGACTGGGGAATTCTAAGAGTTCTTGCCTAACTAGTAACTTTGCCTAAAATATATCCAGTGCTTCCATAGAAGGCATAAGTATATCTGCCCTTGTAGATTTCCTGGGTGAAGGTTTGCCAGGCTTTCCAAGGACAGTTGTAAAACTACTTCAGACTTCCCATTGTGGAGATGAGAGAGACTGAGATTCTCCCAGTGGACAGGAAGGCAATTCATGTCATTTCTGAGGGGTTCTGATCTGTCAAAAAAGTCCATTGGTGGATGGAATTTGGATTCCTAAATTTGGCACTCACTTAAAATACAGAGATGGTATTCAACCCTTCCTCTAAAGAAGCACAGAATCAGATTTGGCCCTCCAGAAAGTGCCACCTTTTCATTGTGCTGGGCAGTAGCTACATTCAGAGGGTGCTTTGCCACCAGTATCTATTATTTAATAATCAAATATCTCACTTAACAGCAGGAGTTTTATCAAAATGGTATACAGAAGCACATTCAAATTCTTGCAGAAATGAAATGTAATAGAAAATAACTGTCTGTTATATCAATGCCTAAAAAAAGAATAACCAGCAATATTTGATTGAAGGAATTCATCTGGAAAATTCTGGTAGAAATAAATGGTTTTTAGCATGTGTCATACACAGTATACACAGAATACACAGAGGAATTATACCACAAAGATCTGGATGTCCCGGACAACCCAGATAGTGTGGCTGCTGACCTTGAGCCAGACATCCTGGAGAGTGAAGTCAAGTGGGCCTTAGAAAATATGGCTAACAAGAAAGGTGATGGCAACTATTTAAAATCTTAAAATATGATGCTGTTAAGGTGCTACACTCAATATGCCAGCAAGTTTGGAAAACTCAGCAGTGGCCACAGGACTTGAAAAGATCAGTCTACATCCCAATGCCAAAGAAGGGAGGTGCCAAAGAATGCTCCAACCACCGTACTAGTGCATTCATATCACACGTTAGCAAGGTTATGCTCAAAATCCTACAAGGTAGGCTTCAACAGTACTGTATGTGGACTGAGAACTCCCAGAAGTACAAGCTGGATTTTGAAGGGGCAGAGGAACTAGATACCAGATTGCTAACATGCACTGGATTATGGAGAAAGCCAGAGAGTTCCAGAAAAACATCTACTTCTGCTTCATTGACTATGCAAAAGCCTTTGACTGTGTGGACCACAGCAAACTATGGCATGTTCTTAAAGAAATGGGGGTGCCTGACCACCTTATCTACCGCCTGAGAAATCTATATGTGGGACAGGATGCAACAGTTAGAACTGGATACGGGACAACTGATTGATTCAAAATTGGGAAAGGAGTACGACAAGGCTGTATATTGTCTCCCTGCTTATTTAACTTACATGCAGAATGCATCATGTGAAAGGCCAGACTGGATGAATCCCAAGCCGGAATTAAGATTGCCGGAAGAAATATCAACAACCTCAGATATGTAGATGATACCACTCTGATGGAAGAAAGTGAAGAGGAATTAAAGAGGGTCTTAATGAGGGTGAAAGAGGAGAGTGCAAAAAATGGTCTGAAGCTCAACATCAGAAAAACTAAAATCATGGCAACTGGTCCCATCACCTCCTGACAAACAAAAGGAGAAGATATGGAGGCAGTGATAGATTTAACTTTCTTGGGCTCAATGATCACTGCAGATGGTGACAGCAGCCACAAAACTGAAAGACGCCTGCTTTTTGGGAGGAAAGCGATGACAAACCTCGACAACATCTTAAAAAGCAGAGACCTCACCTTGCTGAACAAAGATCCGCATAGTCCAAGCTATGGTTTTACCAGTAGCGATGTATGGAAGTGAGAGCTGGACCATAAAGAAGGCTGACCACTGAAGAATTGATGCTTTTGAATTGTGGTGCTGGAGGAGACTCCTGAGAGTCCCCTGGATTGCAAGGAGAACAACACTATCCATTCTGAAGGAAATCAACCCTGAGTGTTCACTGGAAGGACAGATCCTGAAGCTGAGGCTCCAGTACTTTGGCCATCTCATGAGAAGAGAAGACTCCTGGAAAAGACCCTGATGTTGGGAAAGTGTGAAGGCAGGAGGAGAAGAGGACGACAGAGGACGAGATGGTTGGACAGTGTCACCGAAGCTACCAACATGAATTTGACCCAACTCTGGGAGGCAGTGGAAGACAAGAGGGCCTGGCATGCTCTGGTCCATGGGGTCACGAAGAGTCGGACATGACTGAATGACTAAACAACAACAGAAGCATGTGTCACAATATTTCAGTCTTTCACCCGTACTTTCATTCCAGAATAGTTTATTCCTAAAGCAGAGGCAGCCATGCTCAGTGCTGGGTTTGTTTGTTTGTTTGTTTGTTTGTTTGTTTGTTTGTTTGTTTGTTTGTTTGTTTGTTTGTTTGTTTTTTGGATGCCTGCCAGCTTGGTCAAAAGACCAGGTGGCTCCATTGAAAGGGCACCTGCCAAAGATCAAGTAGGAGCATAAGGGAGGAAGTCATCATTCAGCTAAATTGGTCCTGCTTTGTCTTTTGGCATTTCCACCTGGAAGGTGAAGAGTATCTTTGTAGTCATGCTTGATGTGTGCTTATTCTGGCTGAATCTTGAACACTTGGTTGCCTCATATGGGTGAGGAAGGAGATGTACCTGCTAACAGGATTTGTGCTGAGGACAGGGATAAGCAACTTGTAGGCTTCCAGATGTAGTCAGACTACAACTCCCATCATCCTTCACCTTTAGCTATACTACCTCAGACTGATGGAAGATGGGGCACAAGTAGCTTTACCTGGACATTGGAGCAGAGGAAACTCTTTTACACCAGGTCTGAGTATTGGCCTAGTTATCCCAGTCTGCTCTGCTCTGATCGTAAGTGGCTCAGCAGTGTCTTAGATGTAGTGTGTGCAATATTGCAGTGTTTTCCTTCTAAAGCAGGCAAGTGCATGCATTCCCCTGGTCTCCTGTGATCTAGGATGCCAACAGACTCTTCAAGGACAAGCAGCCCCTCTTTTAAAAAGTCCTCCCTAGCTGCCTGTTTTTGCCATTTCTTCTTCTTGGAAAGGACATTGGAGGAAAAAATTCACTTTTCAAAAAAAAGAAGAAAAAGAATAAGGCCTTGATTTATAGATTTAGGGGGAACTTTGTACAAGGATAACCCAATGCCACAGCAGACGGGATTTTTTTCTAATGAGAGGAAAGCAGCAGCTGCTGCATTAATAAGTAGCAGCTAACTATCTCGTGCAGTGTTAATGCACTCTCCAACATCCATCTTAGGCCTAATGGGTTGTTTCCAAGGCTTTCCAGTTATGCTAATTAAAGCCACAGGCTGAGAGATGCAAGGGCTCAGGCAGAGGACAGGGTGGGGGAAAGGACTGGTCGATTTCCCTCTGCTTCTCCAGAGGTTGTTTCAGATCCAGTGGCAGAAATATGAATGAGTCTCTTTATTTCTATTATCTTTCCCCAAAAGATATACCAAGCTGGCTGTGTTTTGATTCAGGACGTGGGGAAACCAAAGGGAATTCCAATGTGCTGTAGAGTAGATTACCGAGGTCCAAATCAATTTTGATCAAGCATTCCTCTGAAAAAGACTCTTATTTTCTTGGGTGCCCATTCTTTTTATTTTGTTGTGTGTTTGTATGAAATTCTATACCAGCTCTGTACTTGAGTGCTCCCACCCTCTAGCCCTGCTTGTGGCCTTAGTTGGGTGTAGCCCATGTTGCAAATTTCACAGGTCAGTGGGAACAGAATTTGCAAGTGTGCTTTAGTGTGGATGTGTCCTTAAATAGCCCACACAGACCATTAAGAATAGATGATGAATGGCTTACAACCTGCAGCGGAAAGCCGAGTTTCCCCGTCAGCTCCAAAGCATTGAGGCTTCCAGAAACCAACTTCATACAATGCACAAGCCGAAGCCCTTTCTTGGCACCCTCAGCAGAGAGTTTTTAGACAGTGCCATCAATTTTGAGAAGTGGGTGGCCCACCAGATGTTTCTTGGACTGCTGCTCATATCCCCCTTCACCAGTGGTTATGCTGACTGGGGAAGATGGAATTTGCTGCTCCATGATACCTGAAAAGGCACAGATTTCCCATTCCTGATGTATGCAGAGGGCTCAGCTCTGATCCACAGGGTAAATCCTTGGACTTGGAATAACAGGAGGAGATTCTGGGAGTATTCTTCAGTACCCTAATTCTGCGGAGTAGTCCATTAACTGGAACCTCCTAGTGGATTGCAGAAGAGACCAGTTCAAGAAATGCTCACCCAGTTGGGTTCAGCACACAAGAAGGGGAGCATGTAGCCTTTCCCCCCACCATCATCATTTTCCTCACGTGGAACATGGCAGATGTGAACAAGAGAAATTCCTCTTTGCATAGAAGCTCTCCATGACAGCAGGAACAATGGAGAATCAGGAATCTTCCTGTGATGGTCCAACTGCCCCCAATGAGCTGTCTGCCTCAGACTCAGGCCTTCTTGTGGAATTCATTCTAGAAGGCACAGAGAGCAAGATCAAAGCCTGAGGTGGGAGGAACGGGGCAGAGGTTGATAAGCCACACTTGAGTGGTAGGGCAGAGGTCAGGGCATGTTGGTGGGACCCAGGCTTAAAGGAGATAGTGAAGAAGAGGGGGAGGGCCCAGATTTCACCTTTGACAGACTCTGATGGGACAGAGTGGGCAAAGGATACAATGAGCCAGCTCCCATCTTGTGTGCCCTTGGGGAGGACCAGCCACTGATGATCCAGAACCCATGGCCTGGGGAATGGGTCTGGTTCCAGATGACTAAAGGAAGACAACACGGGGAAGGGGTGCTGCTTTTCAGCCCTCCAACAGTGATAAACCCTTGGAGACTGAGATGACCTGCTGGGTATTCTAGCCCCATCCGACCCAGAGGAAGGAACACCTATGGCAGAGCCACCAGTGAAAGGTTGAACTTGGGAGACTTGGTGGCCTTGTATAAGCCCTACATTACGGGGCCTCCTTGAAGGGTGTCAGCTGGTTGGGATCAGTGGGGCAAACCTGATCCCAGCCCCAAATAGAAGACTGGGACTGGGACTCAGGCATGGCTGAGAGAAGAACCATGGGGTGAGGATACTAGTGGAAATAACTGGATCTCTCTGCAAGTAGATTGGGCAAGAGGAGTCAGGTGCCCAGCCAATCTTTGTAACACCCTTTCCCCCTGCAATAAAGACCCATTTGAGCAGTGACAAGAGTCTGGATTTCATGGAGCCCTTGGTTGAAAAGACCCTCCTTGATACCTCCAGTGGGAGAGGCATGGCAGTCACACTTGCTACATGGAGATTGTGTTCAAAGTAGAAATAGTGACTACATAGGGTGGGGCTGCAGGTTAATGCAGGTGTATCCACTGGGTCTGGTTAGGGATTAGGGATGTTGTACCCCATAACATTTGGAAGGCACCTAGTTCTAATGGATGTTCTAATAAGGGTCAAATTACATAAGACAATCAATTCCGCATTTAGAAGCTGTGCTCCCTGAAGTGACAAGAGATGCCTCTTTGTCCTAGCCCACCTCTCCAGATTTGCTTTGTTTTGTGCTTTTAGGTATCAGGAGGTAAAGATTGACTTTATTTGCAGGTCTGATTGCTGAGGCATAACATTACAATAGAAAAATCAGTTTTTAATTGAGTTCAGAGTCTCATGCAGTTTGACACTTAGTGCACACTGATTCGAGGTGAAGCCCTTGTGTGTATTCTTTATATCAATGTACAGTACATGCACAATAGATACATCTACCTCTGTAGCAAAGGAATTAGTAGTCTCCTGTTATCTTGAATAACCAAATATTAAGATGAGAAATGCAGAATTTTAAGTTGAAAACCAAACAGAAAAGCCCATCAAGGGACGTGACAGATGATGAATGGCTACAGTTAATTGTTTGTCACTTGTGTTCTCCCTTCTTCCTGTCTTTCACAGCTGCTTTGTGTCCTAATTGTTTGTGTCTCTCCTCTCTTCCGTGTCCCCCCTGTTGCTCTTCTCCTCTTGGCCCTGGCAGGTGCGGTTGCAGCTCTGGGACACAGCAGGCCAGGAGAGATTCCGAAGCTTGATCCCCAGTTACATTCGAGACTCCACAGTAGCCGTGGTGGTCTATGACATCACAAGTGAGTTAAGTCTGGATGTGGTTGTCTTTACAGTGTAACTGCCCTATGCAGGCCAATATGCAGGCCTCATAGGATTATCTGTAGGGTAGCAGACACAGCATGTGGTTCAGTGTGAGATTTGACAAACTGAGAGGCCAAATGAATGCCATGCACTGGAAATATATGACAGCTTCAGTCAGAGGAACTGGCATATCCTATATTCCCCCTTTGCCCTACGGCAACATTTTTTGTTTGAAAGGTTTGCTTCTGTTCTTCAGACTCTTAAACAAAGAAGTCTCCAGTCCTTAAAGTCTTATTGTTCTTTTCGTATGAGCAGCAACTATGGAAAATACTTGGTTTTGCCAGCACCCCAGCTTGTAAAAAGATTTGGTGTTTGTGGTACCAGAGCGCAGCAGGCTAGTACTGAGCTTAAATAGAGGTATTTACACCAGAAATATGTAATATTTGGGGCAGGTGTGAATTTTGAAACCATGTAGTTATTGCTTCAGGAAATCTGTGCAGAGATAGTATAGGAGAAAGATTCCTGAACATTAAATTGCTCTAATGTTGGCTTCTGTGCATGATAGTATCTAGATAGAAATCATGCAGCTGACCCCTTGTGCTACCTGTCTTTAACAAAAGAGAATAACAACTGTATGAACTTCCAAAAGGAAGGAAGAAGTAAGGTCTGTATGTAGAAATTTGTATATCATATAACAGTTGTTTGCAAAGGAGAAAAATGTAATTAAATTAAGTTAAATTAAATTAAATATAGGTTCCTGGGCATATCTGGCTGTGTCTCTTGTCTATTCCCTCTTACTGGATCAGGCTACGTGTTACCTGTTGTTACTTCCAACATAGCTATTTGTGAAATAACTTGATTTTGTAACTGTTCAATGTTGGCAATTCATCTCATCAATATTTTGTGGAAATGAAGGTGGTTAATTTTACAGCTAATACTCTGGAAGAAAGCTAACTTACATAATTCCAAAGACTTCTAGAGATATCCCTTACAATTTGCCTTGTTTATTATTTATTTATTTATTTAACATATATGCCATCCACCCTATCCAAAGGTCTCTAGGCAGCTTACCACAATTTAACTACAGTAAAAAAGATAAAACAATTAAAATACAATTAAAATATATATTCTAAAAATTGCCATCAGAATCCACAGTTGATATTATTTCAGTTAAAAGCCTTCTGGAACAGGAAGGTTTTGACCTGTCACCAAAATGTCATCAGCGTCGGCGCCAGATGAATCTCAGTCGGGAAGGCATTCCATAGTCTGGGGCAGCTGCTGAAAAGGCCCTTTGTCTACAAGCCGTCCCTCTTACCTCCTTGAGGGACAGCTCTCTCAGAAGGGCCCCCTGGCTAGATCTTAACTGCCAGGTAGATTCATGTGTTGGATGCCATAAATGGGGAATCCAACTCAGGTTCTCACCTGAGAAATAAGTAATGCTTCTTTTGTATGACTGCCCATTATGAGTAAAATGTATAATATTGTCTGTGTGTCATATTGTGAAACTGATATTTTAATGCACAAGCTGAAATTACTGATCAGGCAATATAGAGGAATACCTATCATTTGTCATTTATATTAATATAAAGATATTAGTGTATAGTAAAGATGAGATTTATGTGCTTTTATAAAAATTGTATTATAGTTCCTATCTCTTCTTGTATTAAAACTTTTGCTCTTTAGATTGTTGTTTTTCTTTGTACTAACTGTGCCTGTGCCACATTTCTTTTGCCCAGCATGGACTTTCAACCTCTATCAAATCAACATTATGTTATAACTGCCCTTTGTGCTGCAGTTGTTTTCCCGTGTACTTGTTTTATTCATTTTTACACTTCTTTCCCATTCTTTCTCTTTTAGAATTTCAGTGTTCAAGATTAACTTCATCAAGTTCAATGTTTATTCATTTATTTTTTTAAAAAAATTATTTATTTAAAATATTTTACCCTGCTTTTCTCTTTTAAAACGACCGCAGGTAGCTTACATCATTAAAAACAATACCTAAAGCTAAGAACAAATATACAAAGTTAGCTTGCATTATTAAAAGACATTGTTCAAAGCTAAAAAAGTATACAAATATTAAAAAGGAACAAACACCATTCTAAGAAATGGTAAACAAAAGCAGTACTAAAAACATATTCAGAGCAGTAGTGCATAACAATCCATTTAAAAACATTTTATTTTTAACCAGTATTTGGTTCCCCTCTCCCTTTTTATTCTAACAAGAACCCTGTACTCTCAGAACGTAGGCTGAGAGATACCTACTGGCTTAAGGTCACATTGTGAATCTTCTTGACCTTATGGGATTTGAACTCAGGTTTTCACAACCGTAGTTAGATTTACTTAACTACTGTACTGCCCTAGCTTTCATATCCTACCAATGGCAGAATGTTCATATCTATACATCCTTGTGCTGCAAATCTAGGTGCTTTGAAGTGTGATAGACAAAGTGCTAAGGTGCATAGTTGGGTCAATGTTTGTTATTATGTCTGATTTGCTCATGAGGTACTGAAAATGGGTTCAGACTTGGTCCAACTTAGAGTAGACTCACTGAAATCAACAACACTTTAGTTAATCTTGACTAAGGGTGCAACTACACAGTGCGGGAAATGCACATCATCTCACTGTGAAGTCACAGTGGGGTTTTGGGCTGTCTTTTATTTAAATAGTCACACAGGCAGAGGAGCAAAGGCCTTCTAATTGCAGCTATGATGAAGCTCATGTAGGTGGCATAATTCATAGGAGCTGCCTTAAGAAGGCTTTTCTTCCTCAGTTTACTCATTTCCTCATCTTGCCAATCATGCAGCTCATTAGATTGTAAAAAAAATAATAAGTAAATACATAAATAGAATAAATAGGAGCTCTGCCCAAGAAACTATTTTCTTTCTTTCTTTTTAAATAAATATCTTTGGAGGGAGGCTTTACAGAGAGAGTTGAGTGTCCCACACTGCTCATGTGTCTGTTCTCTCTCTCCGCCCCCCTTCCTCCCAGTCCTCCCTGAGGCAGAAGACAAGTGGGAAGGTGCTTTGCCAAAGCACTGCTCTCTCTGTGTGTGCATGCATGCACTTGATTAGTCTTTCCTTTCTGCATCAGTTCAAAGCAATCACACACTTTCAACCAAAGCAAAATGATTGGATTCTTTTAAAGGTAGAAGGGTCTCTGGTGGAGAGGAAAAAATATGGATTGGGGCACAGAACTACAGGCAGTTTCATATTTCTCATTTCATCAGGTGATCAATGGGGGAAAATATGAATCAGATCACCCCAGACCCATAATATTTCCAACATTTTCCCCATTGTAGTCATTGCTTGACAAATGCAATCAGTTTCAGTGAATCTGTTTCATGTCTGTTTACTTATTTATTAGAGTTATAAACTGAATCCTCCCATGTGCCTATGATTATGTACAATAAAGGCATGCTTGATTGATTACAGTATATCTGCTCTTAAATAAAACTAATACTAGATTCAGCCAGGAGGAAGGACTCAGTTCAGATCTCCCAGATCCAAATTTGACTTACTTTGCCCAACATTTAAAGTTTTCTGTATGCACAGGGAAATTTGCAGGAATGTTTTTCACAACTTCTGCAAACCTGTCACATGACGTTGTGCCTCCAGAGGAAGGCCCAGCTCGCATTGCTTGCAGTATTCATTTTACATAAGTTCACAAGTCAACAAAACTCTGTATGTTTATTCTGCTTTTGCTCCAAGAAGGTCAGAATGGTGCACATATGATTCCTTTCACCATGTTATTCTTTCAGTGACTCCACAGGGTAGGCTAAGCTAGGCTGAGAAGAAATGGCTGGCCCCTGAGATTACCCTGTGGGTTTCATGGCTGAATGAGGATTTTAGTCTAGGGTTCTAATGTACTGTTCTGATCACTATAACCTACTGACAAATGAACAGAACAAAGTACTGTTTGGTCCAGCATTCTGTTTCCTAGATGTGACCTATGGGAAGGAATTCTGATCTAAATGCCAGCAACTGAGGCATACTCATCCTGGAGGTATCATATAGATACCATGAATTGGTGGCTATTTTTAGTCTTATTCTCCACAAATCTCTTTTTAAAGCCATCAGAGTTTGATGTTCAGAAGGTGGTGAGGATAACATGAATTCATCTCCTTTTCTCACATTGCCTCTCATGTCACAGCGGCATTTTATTTTTGAAGGATTTATTAAGCCAGACTTCATAACCTGAACCTAGTGCCCTCCTGATCTTTTGGACTTCCATGAGCCTTTACCATTTACTGTGTTGACTATGCCTGATGGGAGTTCCAGTTTGAAACATTTGACAGACGTCAGTTTGGGAGCCCATCATAAGCCCTTTTCAGAGATTTACTCGAGACAGAGGAAGGGCATGTGGAAACACATAGGCTAGTTCAGCTCGCTTGGTGATATTCTCCTAACCAGTAACCCTCCCAAGCTCATTGGTGATTGGCCTGCCTCTGAATAGGGGCACTGTCATCATGATGAGTTTTATGCTCAAGGAAGGTGGCTCCCTTCAGATGCCAGTTGGTCATGCCTTGGTCCAAGATCACTACTGGCATTCTGGCCATTAAGAGTGGAGGAAGGGAGCCCTAGAAGTTTCCACAACCCTTCTATATGCTTTCAGAAATGAACATCCGTAAAAAGCTGTATTATCTCCATGAGGAGTTACCAGCTAAAATATTTCAAGCCTTGCCCACACTGTAACCAGACTCTGATTTGAGCCCTCTGACCTAATCCGTAGCCATCTCTTGCTGTTTGCTCTGGCTTGTCATGTTCCCTACTGCAGTTAATGTACGAGGGCCTGAGAAATAACGGAATAGCGGGTCTGCCTCCTCCTCCTTGTGGCCCCTGCTGGCTGAGGGAGCTGAAGCAGTCACACAGGGGTCAAGGCTGTGCCTGCTAAGAATTCTGAGCAGTGTGGCTCATTAAAAATGATCCGCTTTAATAGATTGCCTGGGCAGGTCTGAGGCCCCTGCTTCAGTTGCTATAGTTGCACTAAACTCTGCTTCTAGTCGATGGCAGCTCCTGTTAGCAAGAAGGAAGGAGAGGCAGACAAAAGTAGGGAGCCAAAGAAAGAAGCCTCTGGTCACAGGGCACGATCGATATTTTCAGCTGTAACTATTTGCCAGCGAGGTATATTCATGAAGCCTTCCATGGATAAAAGACAAGTAACCCCACTGGAGAGAAAAAAAAGAGAGGAGAGGAGAAGAATGACAATTTGAGCTGCAGAGGCAGCAGAAATGAAGTGGTATAGTCAGACCTGTTTTCCACACATTAATATCTGGTAGCAAATGTTGACCTGATGTTTAATGTGTGCCTACTGCATTTAATATGCACGTTCTAAAATGTAATCCTCGGAAACCATGAGAGAGGATGATAACTACAGGAATGCCCTCATGCCCCCTGAAAGAGAGTTTTACGCTTTCCCCCAGAAAACCTTTGTTTGATTAGAAAATCCCCCATGTATGTATGTATGTATGTATGTATGTATGTATGTATGTATGTATGTATGTATGTATGTATGTATGTGTTTGTTTGTTTGTTTGTTTGTTTGTTTGTTTGTTTGTTTGTGTTGTATTGTATTGTATTGTATTGTATTGTATTGTATTGTATTGTATTTATACCCTGCCTATCTAGTTGAACGACCACTCTGCACTGCACTTGCTGCTGTCCCACGAATTATCTCTAGGGTCTGTTGTGTTCATTAAATAAATCATTTATTTATTTGTTTGTTTGTTTGTTTGTTTGTTTGTTTGTTTGTTTGTTTGTTTAACTTATATGCCACCCACTCTACCCAAAGGTCTCTGGGCGGCTTACAACAATCAAAATTCAATTAAAATACAATAAAAGATAAAATGATTAAAATACAATTAAAATAGATATTGTAAAAATTGCCATCAGGACCCACCATTGATATTATTTCAATTAAAAGCCTTCTGAAACAGGAAGGTTTTGACCTGGCACCAAAATGTCATCAGCGTCAGCGCCAGATGAATCTCAATTGGGATGGCATTCCATAGTCTGGGGGCAGCTGTCGAAAAGGCTCTTTGTCTACAAACCATCCCTCTTACCTCCTTCAGGGATGGCTCTTTCAAAGGCTCCCCTCGCTAGATCGTAACTGCCAGGTAGGATCATATGGAAGGAGGCGGTCCTTCAGGTATCCAGGGCCCAAGCCATTTAGGGCTTTATATGTCAAACAAGCACTTTGAATTGGGCCTGGGCAGCAGCTGATAGCCAATGTAATTTAAACGGAATTGGCTTGCTGTGCCCCCTAGCGGCCCCACCATGCACAGATCGATTCGGGACCAATTGCAATTGCTGGACCGTCTTCGAAGACAACCCCACATAGAGCGCATTGCGGTAATCTATACAATTACCAGTGCGTGTGAGACTCCGCTCATCCAGGTAGGGCCATAGCTGGTATAATTTCCGCAGCTGAAGGAAGGCACCCCTAGCCACCGAGTCCACCTGGGCTTCCAGAGTTAGACTGGGGTCCAGGAGCACCCCCAGGCTGTGGACCCTGTCCCTTAGGGGGAGTGTAACCCTATTCAGGGCAGGGAAATGGCCCTCCAGCCTGTCTGGCAAAGCACCCACTAACTTATATAAACAGATGCATTTAATGTCATGTCTGGTTTGATCTTCACCTCAGAGCATACGTGTAGGTGAGGTCACATCCTCATTCCTTTTCTGCCCATTCCCATCTTTTTGAAAATTTCTAGAGGAAAAAAAAATTCCTCATTGTCTGTCCAAACCAGCTGGTGTCCATGTACCCTTGTTGTAATTTTTACTCCCTCATGTCAACCTGACCCTTCCTCAATCCATCCTTACAAAAGCACAGAGTGTTGGATCCAAATTCAGGTCCGAGCAACTAGACTGACAGAAGTGGATTTCTTTGCTTGTTTTCCTCCATGTCAGCAGTTCCAGCCCCCTAGAAATCCTAAATAGACAGTGAAGCAACCTGTTGAATGAAATGAGCTGTAAAATGGAAGGGTATCTTCAAAAGGAAGGTACTCTCTATGAACAGCAGATTCTGATCCGGCCCTGAATAGTTTTATAACACTTCTTGAGTATGCAAGGCCCTTGTTTGCTTCTTTCTTTCTCATCCTTCCTCCAAGCAGCTCAGGGAAGTGCAGAGAGATTACTCTTCTTCCACCCACACATGCACCCATCCACCTTTTATCCTCTAAAGTCAGATGCTTAGACTCAGGGTATGTTTTCACTGGACAGGCATCAACAAATGAACTCCGCAGCTGAAAGAGACTTTTAACCTAGGCCTTTCCAGTCTAATGGTTTAAACTACATGAGAGATGCTGATTTCATTAATCGGAAAATGATAAAATGTTTGACAGACCCATGTGCCTGAGCAATCAGACTTGTGGATAAAGGCCATGTTTTCCTCCCAATGACTAGTCACTAACTAAAGCAAGCTAATTGCAGCAACGACCCCCTCCTAAAAAAGGTGAAAAAAGCATATGCAATGAAAATTGGAGTTTCAGTCTAAGAACATCTGGGAACCTAAGGTTGGGAATCATTGTTTTAGCAGCTTTTCTTTTGTTTTCCATTTGGTTGTCTTCTGTCATCCTGTTTTTCTTCCTCAGCATCTACTGTCATGGTTTACATTTGGATTCAAGTCTCCCTTCTCTCCATTTTCAGTCTTCCCACTTAACATAGCTCAGATGTTAAAAGGCATTCAGGGAAGTATTGTATCAGTATACTGTATCAGTAATGGGCCATCTTATGTCACTATCAAGTGTTTAAAAGAGAGAGAGAGAGACTGATAAAGCCCTGACACTCTGTGAATTTATACACTAGCCTGTCCTTACCCATGCTTGCTGGAAATGTTGGGCATAGCAGTCCACCAGATTATTTTAGGAGGGTTCTGTACACATGTTGATTTGACACGAAAACCATTCCAGATTCATTCAAAAACTCAATAGGCATTCCCTACTCTCTTTTGTAATTGGTCGTAATATTTGGTTAAAAAAACTATGAAACTCAGAACCTCACTAAGTGAAAGATTCTAGATTCCATATCTAGAACCATCCTGCCCTTAAGAGGAAAAAGGCTGTCTATTCTAACATGAGCTAGCATCTGTCTATATGTTGGAAATAAACTTACGTGTTTTGTAACTGGTAATTTAGGAGACAATGACACAGTTTTGTTTCCATGTTTAATGGTTCGGGCATATAGCACTTAAGATGTTACAGACCTGGAGAGCTAACACTATATGAAGAGGAAATATATATTTGCCTTATTGTGGTACTAGCTCCTTAGTTGCCTATGAGACATCGGAATAATCACCCTTTGTTATGTCTGGCACCCAGCTTCCTTATTTCTCATCTTGCTCATAGATCTCAACTCCTTCCAACAAACATCCAAATGGATCGATGATGTCAGAACAGAAAGAGGAAGTGATGTCATCATTATGTTGGTGGGCAACAAAACAGATCTTGCAGACAAGAGGTAAGTACATACAATGAGATAAATGGAAGAGTTGCAGTTTCTGGTGGGAAATGATGATGGCTAAACTTCTTCCAGGCATAGAAACTAGAAAAGTGGGCAATTGTTCACAAAAGGATAGAAGAGCTATATTGTCTCCTGCTGCCATAGGAACAGATGTCCCGTAGTGACAACTCCTGTTTTATTGACCAGTACTGAGTCCCTTGTGCATTGTTAAATACAAAGGTTTATAGTTTGGTGGCATTATTACAACTTTTTTCCCTATCCCTCATTTTTTTTCCTCCCATTCCCAGAGATTTTAGGGAATCCCACTTCCCCCAGTGGCACAGAGAGAGTTACTATTTTCCTTTCCTGTCCATGTCTTGATCCTAGGCAAATAACCATTGAAGAAGGGGAACAAAGAGCTAAAGAGCTGAATGTCATGTTTATTGAGACAAGTGCAAAGACGGGATACAATGTAAAACAGGTAAGATGGCTTTGTTCGTGGATGAACATCATCTGTCAGCACTCTAGGCAGATAGGTTAGTCCAGTTTGTGTGCCACAACTTTCCCCTACAGGGGGACCTGTGTGCATATTAAAACAACCCAACCAGTGTCTGTTTTACCATTGGCACATGGGCCAGGTAGGCTGCTGTGTGTGGGTGAAAATATTATTTAGCAACCAGCAGCTCTAAGATGAAGCAGCGCCACTCGTACTCTACCAGGAGGTACAGAGTCTGGTTGGTAGTCCCAAGCAGAAGAGGTCCATTGACTCAACTGCTGAATGGCAGGTCAGTGCATATGTAAATACTGTTGATTCAATAGGCCTACTCTAGTTTAGACCACCAATTAAATTCAGGCCTGTATATTTCCAGTCATCATGGTTTGTGCAAAGTTCATTGTCTCCAGGAATCTGGGTTGTAATGAGCTACTTCTCAAGTCAAGCTGCTTTGAATCGGCAAAACTGGAATGATGCTCTGAAGTAATTGTTGTTTTCAGAGACACCTTTGAAAAGCCTTTCCATTGAATCCTGCTCAAATAGCTCTAATTCTTGTTCTCTCAGACTGATATATAAATGGAAGAAGACTGAGGCCTCATCACGTAATTCATTAGTGTCATATGCACTACAATTACGTTGTTTCCAAAAGTTTGTTCTATGTTTGAACTATAAATACCTAAGTATAGAGCACTGATATCTTCTCTTGCTTCTTGACCCATCTTTCTATCTTCCTGTGTTGTCCTCCATTCTACACATCACTATAGCTGTTCCGACGCGTTGCTTCAGCTCTGCCAGGAATGGAGAGTGTTCAAGAGAAGAGCAAAGAAGGGAGTATCCTTTGTTGATGAATAGAAGCTGCTTATTTCTCATATAACTGTTTACCATTCATGATCTGAGAGGATCCAGTAGAAGCAGTTCTCCTCCTGTTGAGATTTCTGCAGAGACAATGTTTATTTTGCCAATATCTTGAGGTGGTTCTCTTCTTAAGCCACTTCTCAGTATGGCAAACTGAGAGTGGAAGGCTCCTTTCTGGTTCATTTCCAGTGATCACATGTGCTGGAAATGAACCAAAACAGAGCAATCCTCTCCTCACCAGAAAAGTAGAAGCTTCGACAGGGGTCAGAAAGGTGTGGTTGGGAAAGTTCTGGGGGCAGGCTGTTTCACTCTAGCAAAGGTGTCATATCATTGCCATATTTGGGAGTGAACCAGCCTATTCCCGCAGGGAACCAAACTACAGGCTAAACACCTATGTAGTCACCCTACACAGGGTGTTGTTTTCTCTTTGTTTCTGCTGTGTTGCCTGTTAATTGTTTAACCTAATTGTTATGTTAACCAAATTGTTTAACTGTTTAACCTTGATTCAGTTCTGGTTAATGGTCTCCTGTGCTACAATGCAGGATTTGTCCATATTAAACATTAATGTTGTCTAGCAAGTAGATGGCTTGTAAGAAGAATGAATAAGTGATTTCCTTCTAAGTGAATGAGGAGGAGAGGATGATTAGGAAACTGGAAACCAAACCCTGAGAGTAAAGACTGAATGAACTTGGCATGTTTAGCCTTGAGAAAAGAAGACTGAGGAGAGATAGGACAGCACTTTTCAGATACTTGAAATATTGTCATACAGAGGAGGGTCAGAATTTGTTCTTGATCATCCCAGAGGGCAGGATGCACAACAATGGGCTCAAAATACAGTAAGTTAGATTTCAGTTGAAATCATGAAAAACTTCCTAACAGTTAGAGCAGTATGACAGTGGACCCAATTACCTCGGGAGTTGGTGAGTGCCCCAATTTTGGATGTGCTCAAGAGAAAATTGGACAACCATCTGTCAGATATACTTTAATTTGGATTCCTGCATTGAGCAGGGGGTTGACTGAATGGCATTACAGGCCCCTTCTGACTCCATTATTCTATGACTCTATGTGACACCAATGCTCTTGTTGAACCATAACCTTAGTTCTCCACTACTGAATGACTGCACAAAATGAATACATCAGCCTAGAAAAGTACTAATGAATATAGGCCAATTAACTTTTATTTATTGCAGAGAAAGTCATGGTTTCTAAATTAAACACTGCAGTAATGACTTCCCTCTGTCCCTAGGGCTGGCAGGAAGCAGAGAATAATGGTTGCATGGAGAATGTTTGCCAAGCAGTGACAGATCATGCCATGCTGCTCAACGTTACCTTGCTTGGGTTAGGCAGGAAAGTCCATATAAATGTCCCTTCTGCCCTGAATAACTATTCTGCATTGATGGAAATGTGATTTAGATATGCTCTTGATCAGAGTTTCCATCATGCCCGGTGGCTGTAGAAGCCTGGGTTATAACACCAACTTTATTTTTAAAGATCACCAAAATACATTAGTCTGGATCAGAACTAACAAAGTGCAATTTGAAAAGAAAGTTGCTGTTACAGTTCCCGGACCAAACAATAGCTACTTCCTATTATAGTTAGAATTTTTAAAAAAGTATCTGCTTGCCTATTTCTCCAAAGTAACTAAATTAGTAAATTCTGGTTGCTTTCTTTTAAAAAAAATCCTACCTGAATGCTAGAAACTGCTGGCCTGTGGTACAGAATACAGTACATGACTCCCAACTTGTCTTCATCTCAGCATCTAGCATACTGGTACAGCATTTGAAGCACACGATATTCTGTCTCTATCATTTTGTGAGGCAGCAGGGGCCATACCCTATAATTAAGCAGTTACATCACAAAAGGAGAGGAGTTGCTCCTTGTTAAGTTTCAGTTCTATTGTAGTGTAGTTCTGTAGCAATAGAAATCTAGAAAGCTGCCTTGTCCAGAGTCAGTTCCTTACTGTGTCTAGCCCAGTTAGTGTTGACAAGGCGGCCTTCTTGCCTGACCCTGTTGACATACCAAGGACTGAACCTGTGTCCTTTGCCATGCAAAGCATGTGCAGTACCACACAGCTATATGTACACAGCTGTAGTCTCTTAAGTCTCAGTGGGACGATACTCGCCCTATTCCTCTGTGTCTCTTCCTATATAACTGCATTGCATTATCTGATAACATTACATACATTGCCTAGAATCCAAATTGCTTGAAGTTAACTTGGTATTTCCCATCACACATATGTGAGGTGACTCAGCATGTGATGAGAGAGGTTATCACAGAAGCCTGTCATTGAACTCTTGACTTGCAGCAATTCTTCAGTGCTGTTGTCTTAACTCTAGAAGTGGTGTGGATATGCATAGAATTCCAGCCACATGAGTTTAACTTAAAAATAAGTGTCTTCTCTCATAGCCTTTTCCATAACAGGCCTTTTAACAGGCCAGTTTGGGAGGCTGGAGAAATGGGTTGCTAGGGAAATACAGTACCCAGTCCTGTGCTCCCTAAATTATATGGGCCGGGGGGAAAGCAGGTGATTGTACAAACTGCTCCTCTCTTCCACTTAGTTATGGGCTGGGTGTGCAGGGGCACAACTGCTGAGCCTGCCTTTTATTTCTTCCTGATTGTCCCAGAGGCGACATTCAGTGGCAGCAAGTGCCAGTCTGGAAGAAAGAGAAAAAAAGTGACGTGGCGCCTGTGAACCATTGTGGCAGAAGAGAGTGTCTGGATGTGACCGACAGCAGCCCATCCAGTCTAATTGCTGCCTTTTGTGCTGGAAAACATCAGCTCCCTTGGGGGGCTGGAATGAGTTTGATATATATTACATATGTCAGCACCACATGCAGAGAGCACAGACTGGGCTTTGCACTTGCTGTGCACAGCAGGAGAGACCAGACTGTCACTAGTTAAGGAAGATGGAGTGTGATGTCATCTCTTTGAGCCCTCAGGGCTGAATTCTCTGCTCTGGGGGACAAGATTTCAGCCCAAGTCTTTATTTGCCTGTTGAGTGAACCGTTTCTAGTCATTTAAGATATTGGCATAAAGAGTGACATGCAGAATGATTCGGATGCTTTGATTGACTTGGGTGTTTTCAGATGTGTTTGTTAGATAATCTGGCAATTTCAGGAAGGACCTCTGCTGTCTGTTCTTTAGAAATCTGTGATCCTTTAGAAGAAATGCATTGCTGGCAGTTCACTCATGATTGACTTTCCCCCCAACACCATCGGACCAGTCTGTACATCACAGATAGCCTGTCATTAGAAAAGTAAATTCCTTAACTGCTGATAGCATGTGATTAGAGCAAGAGCTTTTGAGTTATGAGTGAGAGCATTTTGTAGTTATGTAGTTATGTAGTTTGTAAAGTACAGTGGTGCCTCGCTAGACAATGATAATCCATTGCACTGAAATCGCTGTTTAGCAAAATCATTGTCTAGTGAAAAGCGTTTCCCCATTGGAATGCATTGAAACCTGTTTAATGCGTTCCAATGGGGAAGAATTGTCATCGTCTAGCGAAGATCGGCCATAGGAAAGCCGCTTTGCGAACCGCCGATCAGCTGTTTAAATCGCTGTCTTGCGAAGCTTAGGTCCCGAAAACACCCATTTTGCGAGTGTGGAGGGAGCTCTCAAAATTGTTGTCTAGTGAAAATTGGTTTGCGAAGCAGGGACCAAACATTGTCCAGCGAAATCCCCCCATAGGAATCACTGTTTTGCGAATCGCTATAGCGATCGCAAAAAGCCAATGTCTAGCAAAAAACTGTCATGCAGGGTAACTGTCTAGCGAGGCACCACTGTAGCTGGCTTTGTTCTGTGACTGGTCTTTGGGCTTCCTTGGCAAGTCAATTTCTCAGTCACATAGGGCTGCCTAAATCACATCTCTTGAACACTGGTGTGATTTTAGATGTAATGATGGAATATCCCTACCATATAGTTCAGCCTGTGAGAGTGAGAGCTGGACCATAAAGAAGGTTGACCACTGAAGAATTGATGCTTTTGAATTGTGGTGCTGGAGGAGACTCTTGAGAGTCCCCCTGGACTGCAAAGAGAACAAACCTATCCATTCTGAAGGAAATCAACCCTGAGTGCTCATTGGAAGTACAGATCCTGAAGCTGAGGCTCCAATACTTTGGCCATCTCATGAGAAGAGAAGACTCCCTGGAAAAGACCCTGATGTTGGGAAAGTGTGAAGGGAAGAGGAGCAGGGGACGACAGAGGACGAGATGGTTGGACAGTGTCATTGAAGCTACCAACATGAATTTGACCAAACCCTGGGAGGCAGTGGAAGACAGAAGGGCCTGGCGTGCTCTGGTCCATGGGGTCACAAAGAGTCGGACACGACTTAACGACTAAACAACAATAGTTCGGCCTTCATTCAGTGCAAAAAGAGGAGACAAAGACGTGTGATTAGGCATAGGGCAGGTTTTATCTTGTTTGAGGGATATCCAGTTTAACCTCTATCCAGGGTCCAAAAAATAAAAACATGATATATGTTTACCTCGGTTACTAAATTTATCCTATAGGGGTGGACAGCAAAACTATTGCTGTCAAGCCAACTCCTGCATCAGAGTAGGGTCATTGCAAATGGAAGTATCAATGTGTTGAGTGTAAATTGGGCGTGGGGGGGGACTTGTGTGACAGCAAACCATTACTTCTTTGTATCCTAGAATTTGTCACCCATTCTTCTAGGCTTATCTACTATATCATACCTCCTGGGTGGACCTGGTTAACAACTTAGATAGGAAAACACAAGGCAATAGTAGGAATTTCAAAGTAGGGATAGGAAAAATTACCGCCTTGAACCTTAGGGAACCTCTGCCAGCCAGAGTTGATGACAAGCTAGACCACTGGTTCTTAACCTTGGGTTACTCAGGAGTTTTAGACTGCAACTCCCAGAAGCCTTCACCACCAACTGTGCTGGCTGGGGTTTCTGGGAGTTGCAGTTCAAAAACATCCGAGTAACAAAGGTTAAGAACCACTGAGCTAGACAAGCAAAGGATCTGACTCCGCATAAGGCAATTTTGTCTGTTTTTACATTCCTAGTACGTATTTGTATTTTAGAAATGTGTCAAGTATTTCATACATAAAATCTGGAAAAGTAAGCGCACAGAAAAGTTGCTTTTCTGGATTACATCTTCCAGAATGCTGGCATTGGGATTCTGGAAGCTTGGAAAAAAGTAAGTTCTTCTATGATACATTTAAGGAGTGTGACCTCTTACTTGTATGTGTTATTGACAAGTAATTCCATCAAACCACTGCACGCACCACATAAGCAAAAAGCGCCTCTTCCTGTGGTTGTTGTCTCCCTTAACCCTTTTTCTCAGTGATCGACATCAAATTGGACAAACCCCAGGAACCTCCAGCCAGCGAAGGAGGGTGTTCTTGTTAATGCGAAGCGCAGGATTCGTCAGCTCCATTTGACACCACACGCTTGTTGTGTTGCTTCCTATTGGTTAGCTTCCTAATACAAATTGAGTTATTGGGCAGGGAGGATTTCTTTCCTCTCTGTATCTCTCTAGGGAGGGATGGGGTGGGTGGCAAGGATCAGAATACATGATTCAACAGCTGATTCTATTTTCTTTTTTTGGTTCAGTTGTAATATAATGTACTTTATTAAAAATGCCAAAACAATTCAGAAGTTTAAACAAGACACTTTAATTGTGCGTGAATACAGCTTTCAGCCATGGGGACTTACAGCCTTTTTTGGGTAGTTTTTGTTTTGTTTGGTTTGGTTTGGTTTTTAAACTGTATATTTGTAAAACTTACAGAGAAAACCCCAAGATTATACAGGCTGGCTAGTTTCGGTGTTTGGTATAAACTGTAGACATATCTTTTACTATAACATTCCCAGATTAGTTCTAATGAACTATACAATGCATACTCTTATGACCGGCTAGCAAAGCATGCTGTGACCACCAGTGTGCTATACTAGATCTCTTGACTATATAGCCATATATAGGTGGAAGAGAGAGCTACGACAACTAGCGTCATTTTATTCATGATAGTCCTGGAGTACTTCCATAGTTCCTAGACAACATCATGGGAACTATGGTGTATGCACAGTTTACTATCATGCTCCATACTATATTTTACTGTACTATGAGAGATGTTTCTTTTTAGCACTACTATGGTAAATCCTTGTTTTAAGATCTTCACTTGTGTCACCTAGTCTACGTATGTGAACTTTTAAAAAGTCACACAAGCTAGCATAAGCCACTATACATGCATACATGCATTTACTATAGCGTATCTGTGACATTTCTGTTACTTTACATGGCATGATTTGCCCATAGGGTTCTAGAGCACCCTCGATTCCCTGCAAATGCCCAAGCAAACAGTTATGGCTACCATACTGTAACTAGGAAAAAAAATTAGATTGAAGCAATTGCCAAAATTGCCTTTGCACAGAAAAAGAAATAGGTCTGCAAAAGTGCTGTTCAGAGGCTCTCTCCATTCCTTTGAGTCTAAGCCTATCAGTAGATGTAGATTTCTTCAAAGAAGCAGCTCAAAACGGTGGCCAAGATTTAAACAGGGTTGTCAATTACTGTAACTTCAAAAATCTGCCCAGTGGGAACACCTCACTTTTAGCCAACTGTATTATTTATGGTGGTTGATCATTATTATGAGTGATAGTAACTTCTGCATGAGTGAACAAAGAGCAAAAGGGAGGGGGGTCTGTCTCCTTTGAAAAGAAGACTGCCTTGGCAACAAAGTGATAGGTAATGTATTTAATTTTTGTATACATGTGTATGCATGTTTTATATTGACATAAAGCGTACATTAACACACAGCTGTGTGGAAGTGTATGTATATACACACTCATGCACAATATAGATGCTTGGTTTCTTCCACTGTTATGACTTGAGAGTGCAGCCAACGACAGTTGTGGAAAAATACAGTTGCTGCAGTGTGTGGGTCTAAAAGGTTTTTGTTATTGTTGGGGAAAATGTGATTTGTTATGTCTTCAATAAATTAAACTCAGATACATGTGAAACTTGAAAAAAAACATGGAGATATATCTCCAGACGTTGTCAGTCAATGTGTGATAGCGCATGTAGTCACATTCTGGAAGTACTACAAAGAAAGTGGCTGTCGTAAAGTCTTATGTTAACTCCACTGTCATTTCAGTCAATGCAGCAGCATTGTATGGGGTTTCGGATGTATTTTAGTTCAACTGTTAGTCTTACATTGTAGATGTTGCAGTGATCACCATACGTGAGAATGGCATTAATATGGCAAGTGGTTTCTTTTCCTCATATTGGAATAGTGTTGTCTCTATGCCATTCCTGTATAGACAAAACAAACCCCTACTTTTATCAGCACATGCTTAGGAAACCTCTTTTGCTGATCAATAGCCTTATACAGAAGCATTCATACCATACAAAGCTTAGTTTGTTTAACTGTAGCCTGCAGCCAGACTTAGTGATCAACTGTCTAGAGTTTTCCTTCCTGCCCAGATCAATTCACCTTTAACTTGTCAGCTTCCCAGTTTTTTTTCCTTCCTCTCTTATGCTCTCCTTCCTTTTCTATCATCCTTTGAAGAATTTCCACGAGCTTCCTGCTTCCTGTTTTGCCCGATTCATCAGGGAAACTACTAGCTTGCTTCTCTTGCCATCCTCAATACATTGTTGTCCTACTCGTTTCCTTTCTCTTCATTCATGTGCCATAAAAGCATTAAAAGTCGGGATCTTGAGGAGTAAAATTGGCAAAGCCTTTCCAATTTGAAATGTCAACCATTTTAGCCTTCACATTCTTGAGTGGCAACTGTACCTGTTTACAAGGTTTCAAAGGTAAATCATGTGAAAGATTCACAAAGTGAACACAGACCCTTTGAAGATGCTGCCTTCCATTATGGAAGTTCCCAAGGGCAGATTTTATTTGGAAGATTACTGTTTGTCAGATTTTTCTTCTCCAGAGTATTTCATCAAGACATAGGAGAGCACTTTGCAAAGGGATAAAACCAGATGAACTGAAAATATATTGGAGAAAATCAATGCTAAGCACCCCAGGCTTATAATGGTAAGTGAGCTTATCAACTTGTGTTTGCCAATCAGGAGAATGCAAAAGCAAGCGAATATTAGCAGAAGGTCAAGAGCCCATCCACAGGAAAACATTTTAGTCCCAAAATATTAAAATACCATATTGAATTTAAGGGAACAAAGGTGAAAGAAACCACTCCTGAAGTGGGACTTTTCTTTTCAAAATGGACGATAACATCTGCACAAAGAGAATAAAATGCAAAACCACCATAGTTCTCTCTAGACACCATTTCTAGCTCTCTCCAATGAACCACACTGTCAAGGAAAACCAGATCTTTTAGTAGTGCTAAAAAGAATTGTAGCCAGGGATCCTCAGCTTCAGAGTTCAAAGTCCTAGGACAGTAAGATATCTCACCCCTGCTTTTAAAAGTCTCGTCCCTCTTCTTAAAACAGTAAATGCAAGCCTTGCTCTTATGAAGCATAATTTGATGGTCACAGAAATGACACAAATTAAGAAAAAAGTGAAGTTTTTTCTATCGGATGAGGAGCCTGCCTTGGGAGAAAAGAGACCATAAAATACACTGTGTCAGGTAAACACCCAATGGCTTCTCAAGTAGTTGCTCCCATGTTTTGGGGACACATGTTCTCTAGATGGACATGATTAAACCAAAGCAAATATTAGGAGCAGTTTACACAGATTAAGTACAACACCATATTGGAAAAACTTGAGCAGGCCAGATTATATTATGGAGATAAAAAAAGGATATGACTGGACTATATGGAAACATTGCCTACAGAAATACTAAAAAGCTGTTGCATGGATTATGTTAGTTTAGAACGACTCTGAGAAATCCCAATGACTTTGAAAATTCTAGCTTTTAAAATGGGAACTTTTATAGCATCGCAGAGATGGTTTTTGTCTTTTTCAGATTTTTTAAGTGGAATTAAAAGCAAATTGTAACGACAGTGATGAAGAGTGGGCAAGAATTATAAAATATAAGTGAATGGAGGGGGAGGATAAAATTGAATACAGTTTTTCCCCATCAGTAAATATCCGAGCCTTGAGGAAAGGAAACTGAAAAAGTAGTCCAAACTCCATATCCTATTTCCATAGATATAGCGTGACAAGGACTGCCTCCAAGGAAATGCAAAGGAGCCTGATATGGAAAGAAGATTCGACACTTTCTACACACATAGACATACTCAGATACTTAGCAAACCATTTGTGACACAGTTTAATGAGTCCACACACACACACTTTCTCTCTAAAAGGGCTGGGAAACTTGTGGTCCTCCATATGTTGAAGTCCAGTTCCTGTCAACGCAGCTGAGCCTGACGTGATGATGGGAATAGTAATACAAGAGTTGAAGATCCACAAGTTTGATAGTATTTCTAAACTAATCCCAATGTTTTCTGCAGAGTCATCTCTTGCAAAGGCTTTTCTCAATTTCTTCATCTTTCTTTTCATTCTTCTTTCCTCTGTATTCAAATATCACATTTGTACATTGAGTGGCTGCAGGCAGTATATACACCATGGCCTTTTGGTTCCTCACTAGCTTGGTGAGAATATAGACTGCCACATCAACATCCCATAAACTTGTACTTGAGAAAAAAGAACTAGCATGTTAGTCGAATTAACAATAAAGTTGTCTTATTCTCAAATTTGGTCTCTTGACTAGACTTTTTCAGCAGCAGTGTTTTACATGGGGTAAAATTACATACCATCTAAGAACACACTAACAAGCAGCATTACCTACAATTGTTTCTTGTATTTCTGAAGAAAATGAGCAGCAACATTTTATAGTAACATTTACCTACCAGTAAGTAATTTTGATCGCATAATTGCTAGTTTTCCTTCCCATCTCATTTCTCCATACATTTCCATTATTTCCATAAAAGTTCAAAGTAACCAACCAGCATGTATCTGCTACTTCACTGTGGCAGTAAACCTTACTTATTTCCATAAAAGTTCAAAGTAACCAACCAACCTGTATCTGCTACTTCACTGTGGCAGTAAAACTTACTTAACACAGCTAAACTGCTTTTGCACCTGAATACTTTTGGAATAGGATGCAGAATGAGAAATGCAGAATTATCAGGGAAAAAGAAAAGTGCAAGAAATATTGGATTTTGGAGATGTAAATCTGTTGTAGACAAGCATGTTCACCTGATGGTTCTTGTCAATGGTATACAGATTGTGTGGGCTGTGGGGATTCCTGCATATGTATTTTCCTATATTACTACAGCGGACTCTCGACTTATGGAATTAATCCGTATTGGAATCGTGGCTGCAGGTCAAAAAGTCTGTAGGTCGAGGCTCCATTGACCTACAATGCATTGAAAACCGATTAATCTGTAACCGGCTGTTTTTGTTCCATTTTGGGTTTGTTTGTTTTTTCCCGGTCTGTAGGTCATTGGGTTTTTTTTTCCCCCGGTCTGTAGGTCATTTCTCCAGCTGCAAGTCGAACCTACATTTTTCGGCCAGAGAAGTCTGTAACTCGAAAAGTCTGTAAGTGGAGCCGTATGTAAGTCGAGGGTCCACTGTACATGATAGTTCTGTACAATCATGGTGCTGACCCTGTACTCATAAATAGGTCATCCTATCTGAGCTTCATTCCTTAACTGTAAAATGGGAATTCCAATATCTACTGTGGTTAACTGAGACCTCATTACATTGAAGGACCTCATCCTCAGTTTGGTAAGTCAGGCAATGGAGAGCAATTATTTCAGGTTGCAAACACTGTCTCTCAGCAGTTCTTCCCAGACATCCACTCCTGGAAGACATGGCCAGTCTTTGTGGCAGACTGGCTTTAACTCTTAAGACTAGCCTGGGACAAGGAATGGGGGAGAGGCCCATCTTTCCTTTAACCCCAGACTGCACAATGTTTTGAGCCAGGCCTGCTATCCACTCTTCCATCAAGTCAAGTTAGTGGGGAGGACTGATGCCAGTTTCTCTCAGGAAATACACGTCCAACTAGGATGGCTGTGGTCAATCCAACAGCCTTCTGATGGGTGGAATCACTTGTTTAGGTTCCCTATCTCTTGTTCTTCTATTGCTCTCCTTGTGTAAACCAATCAGGAAGGCCAGAGAGCAACAAAACCTCATGAGCTCATCCAGGCAAAGAAATACATCTAAGGCATAAATGTCTGAACCAAGTGAGAGGCTATTAATAAAACTGTTAGATCCAGACAAGTTCCCACATTCCAGGTTGTCCAGTTTATTAGGACCACTATCAGCATATAGGATGATCTGAAACATGAAAATTGCTGCATTTGCAGACTGATTTACACACATTGGAACATTCTGAAATGTAGTGCAATTCTTCCCCTGCCATATGTGTTAATTGAAGAGATTAAATCAGAAGGCAAACCTATAGCTTGATTAATGGATGGAGGGCTATCAGGGCTATTAAGGAACAGTTACCATAACACTTTCTTGAGCCATCTACAAAGATCACTCAAGAGGATTCTCTACTGAACCAATTGGCAATTGAAAAGCATATAACCAAAGGCTTTAGTGAGCTGAGGCAAAAAAGGGGGGGGGGATGGGGCATAGCCCCCACAACAATTACAGCACAACAGAATCTGTGTTTTAATTGAACAACCGAACTTAGCTGTAAGTCACAAGAATTATTAGAGCATTCCTTGTACATATAAACAGTAGTACAATTTTTGAGTTGAGATTGAATATAGTGTTTTACAGCAAGTTTCCTCACTGTTCATTCTCTTCGAAACTATCAGTTGCATTACAGTTAAGAATTATGCTCCCAAACCAAAATAAGCTACAGTTACAGAAGCAACCTGTTGGTTGTTTTTAAAGTCTGTATTAATCAGTGTCACTGGGATTTTTTCAAACTATAGAAAAATTCTGTAACAAATAATGCAGCACTCTCACACCCTGTTGTGTGCATTATGACACAGAACTACAAAAAGGCATCATTCCCTCAGCTTGGTCAGAAAATAACATTAATGACAAGGGATATCAAAAAAGCACTGAAGAAACACCAGCCAAAAGCTATCCAAACATGTTTATTTATAGGTAATAATTTAAAAGACACATACATTTTTACAGCCTGCACATGTGACATTTACAAGACCACTTATTGCATTCTGAGACGAACACATCATGACATGCATGACACATGTAAGCTCACTCTTCTGCAGTGTGGACATAGCTAGGGACTAATCATGTGAACTGAGTTTCAGAGTATGGGAGTTCTGCAGCTCATGCTGCTTCTTATCTAAATGCCCCAATTCAACTGCTCACAAATACATGGCAATTCTCAATCAATCTATAATTTGGAGCAATGATTAATGTCGACTGAGGCATTAAAACAGAGCATACATAGAGTTTTTTCTAGATACATGTAAAACCCTAGGACTGTTTCGCACAATATGAAAAAGCATTATTTTATTTTCTGCATGAACAGATGTTGGCCAATAGAAGTGTAGTAAGCAAACATCCAAAAGCAGCAAGTGATTGTGTTGTACATGTGTGTCGGGTGTGCACACACTTTTGCTCAGACAGTAGCTTACTACTAGGGTATATGATAGCTTGTAAACTTTCCTCTTAATTTTATGAAGAATGTAAAATTGCAAGATACTGAAGTTCTCTGCAGCATCTTTCTGCTGGAGAAACTACGGCAAAGCATACTGTTTAACATAAATGTTATTCAGAGCAACTGCAATCAAGCCCAAGTTTGCAGCTCAGACAACTGCCCTTTTAAAGGGTAGGTGAACTCAAAACACCACCTTCCAACACCTGTGGGATTGGCAAGTTTTAGATTAAGGCACTGAGGGGAGACTCACCCACCAAAGTGTAATATACTCAGAATGAAGAAAACTGGCATGCTCAACATTTCTCTTTCCCTGGAATTCCTGGAGGAAATGTGAGTTTCTCAACTGCTAAAGAATCAAGCCTGAAAAACAGAAAGAACCCCAACTACAGATATATCAATCGAAATGTAGGGGATTGTCTGTAAGCATCCAATGCAGTACCACCAGCCAAGCAATATGTAGTATGCCACATTTTAGGCTTCTGTCACTCTTTTTCTAGTGTGAGAGAAATGTGTTTGAAAATAAAACAAAAACAATTTCATCAGTCACTTGGATTTCCTGCTTCTTGGCAGAAATCATTTAGGAACAGTTCAGAGGAGTAATGCCCACTACGAGCCAAGTTAGCAGAGGAATAGCAATGTTACACAGCACACACAGTGTTGATCCTCACTGAACTGCCAGCAGGAGACAGTGTTCAAGGAAAGTGGCACTGCCATAGTTAGAAGATCAGATTCCATTCAGGCTGAAATGCTTCGCAAATAATGAAGGAAGAAAAGATGTGATGAATGTGCGAGTGAATCTCCACCTTGACCATCACAAATGAGAATAACAGTAGATAGCAGGCAGAAGCAGAGAAATTCCAACTGTGGAAGAATAGTTACAAACAATCCTTTCCTGCAACTTTCATCCAGCACAAAAACTCACTCTACAGCCTCTCTAGATAAGATGTAATAGGCCAAGTGTTGTAAGGCATGGGAGTAAGAGACAAAAAGCTGACTCCACAGGGCAATGTGGTTTGAGGACACAAAGCTAAAAATGGGGCATTCCACGCCAAGCAGAAATAACCCACAGCAGAATCCAGAGTGGCCCTGCCATTGTCCTGTGAGCACACTGACCCAGTTTCTGGGAACTCAAGCCCGGCCTCCACTCAGTCTTATGCAATGGGCCAATTCACAGTGTTTCCCCAGTGACTGCCTCTTGACCCTCAGGCAACTCTTGCCAGCCACCTTTCCAAATCCTCAAGGTCAGCACTGCCCTCCTCTCCCTTGCTTCCTCTGGCACTGCATTCAACAAATTCCACTTTCATGGGCAGCTGGGAGAAGTCAAATTCCTTGCCCTTTTTCCCAAGCTGTGAGGCTGATCCAGAACTTGAGCTGTCCATTGTGCTTGGAGCAGCTGACAGGGTCACTCGTAAGGTATTGCTGTTAGGGAAGAAAAAGAGGATGAAGTTATCACAGGAAATCAAGTCTTCAAAATTGGCACCTGACATTGTGTACAATCCATGTCACATTTAGAGATCTGCATTTTAAATTTGGAAAGGCACTGTTCCTATTTTTGGAAATCTGTGACCAAAACATACAGAAATATTCCAACAACGCACATGAAACATATTGCCGCACCACAAGTCTTAGTTCATCAACAGAGGCGGCAGCATTTTATATTGGAGAGGAAGGCGCATATGTACACTACAAATGTTCTCCTTGAGCTCCATTTCGGTATAATGCAAGATTATAATAATGTAAGTTTTGGTATTTAAGGACCAGGTTTGCTTCTCTGTGTGATCACTATAAACACACTAGCCACATAAACACACAAATCTAGCTATGACAATGCAGATTTCTGTGCTCCAAATACAAGATACATTACTGCCACCTGCTGGACACCAAGGGGATTCAGAAGCAATGACTTGCCAAATGACAAAATCACCTCTGAAACAATATAAACCATGGTAATAGTTTCAAAAGCTTTGGATATCCAATGAACTAAGTTGATTAAAATCATCCTGTGTTTTTACTGGGGAATAATTTCTTCCTGCCTTGGCAAATGATGCTTCCCATTTTGGTATCCTAATTTCAGTGGGAAATAAGGAAGGTGTGGGCAGGAACTCTGGACTCCAAGACATCATTTCAGTGAAATCTGACAAACTAGTACTTTCTACTTACAGTTCTCTTTCCAGCTGCTGTTGTATAAGTTTGGATGATTTTGCCATTGTAACATCTAAGGAAGGAAGGAATATTCATTTATATTCTACTATGTACTATAAGAAGCAGGAGAAAATGCAACTCCTTTGGATTACTTTAGCACTAAATATTTCACGCAAAGAGTATGCAATGCATTATGTTTCTATTAAAGAAAGGAGATATGGAACATGCTTATAGTCTCTATAAGAATCTACCTGACACAGAAACCAGTCACCATTTCATTTCAAAGAGATATGCAGTACCTTGTTTGTTGCAGGCAATTAACAGAGGAGGTGCATTCTTAAGCACAATGTTATCAATTAGAATCTGGTAGAGGAATTCAGCCACATCTTTCATTTCCCGCTGAAATGCCACACTGTCCACAACAAATACAATTGCCCTGCAGAAAGGAAGTATACAATGCATGATCTTAAATAGCATTCTCATTAAGCTGAAAGTATCAGAGGATATTTGTGGAGCACTTAACTGTATGCAAGCAATACTGAAATTTCACTCTAACTACAAGGTTTTCAGTGTTCCCATGCACTCATGTAATGTGAAAAACAGAGTAGCTCAAGCATTTACCAAGGGTCGTTATAAAACTTATCCATGTGAAAGGCCTGCTGAAACATACATGTACATGTATTAGTTCTCTTTGTACCAAGGACCTCTATTATCAGTTGTTAACATATCAACTATATTGGAGGTCTAAGACTGAATTATAGCAGGCTCCATTCAGTCAGTTCAACAGATCACCTTCAGTGAAATTGGACCAAGCCAAGGGCTAGCAGTTGCTTATTCTTGCTAAACAAAAAGTTCTCTCTAGATAAGTTTCCCAGTTTCAAGCATTTTCTGCACATCGACTTTAACATATATGGCCTATTACCAAAAAAAGTGCTACCAACCAAGCAGAAAATTTCAAAGTAAAAGGAGGTATAGGTGAAGGCCAAATAATTTCATTAGATGACCAAGTTTATTCACAGCAATCTTATATGATGCTCCATTTTCAACAGAGCTCTGTGTTGTCACAAGCTAACAGCAAATATCCACCCATTTTCCCAATACTTACCTGGCTGCAGCCTTGAACCTATCCAATAACTGAAGCCGCAAACTCTCATGACCTGGGAGATCAATTAAGGTGACATTTGTGCTCTGTAGGAGGAGGAGCAAGTATTGTTTTAGGAATATTTACTGAGAAATGCAAGAGTTTTTTAAAACTTAGAGATTCCATTGTATTCTGCCTAGATCCATAAATTCTTTTCATTTTTCATTCATGATCAATTTCAGTCTATTTCAGCCAATTGATATAGCTCTGCCAAATAAACAACCATAGTTGCTTATCTATGCTCAACTAAAAACAAGGGGAAAGGTGTTATAAAATGATACATTTAATTTTGCATCCCATTAAGCTTGTAGAGATTGACAGCCACTAATGTGGCTCAATATTAATATTAATAGCTAGCATTCCTTCTCGGTATCTCAATATCATATAACTTTACAGATAATACACTGACTGTGTATTATTTTCATATACACAAATCAGATATTGATATATGAAGTGAATAACTAGCCAAAATGCCAGTCACAACAGCTGGCAATATAGCAGAATTTTAAACTGCTGATAAACAAAACCAAGGCAAAGCCTTTAAGATAGCAGAGTGACAACTAATATATGTTTCAAGACAAAGACAGAGTGCATCTATTGAAAGAAAGAAAGAAAACACTTTGAAATCTTCCTTGACTTTCACCAAGAAAGTATACATAAGACTCCCCCGATGGTTCTCATCAAGATACCATATCAAAGATTTATTTCCAGATTTCAAGTATGATAAACTCACAGATATGTACCTTCATTTAGCTAGTGTACAGTATAACTCTGAGAAAAGCCTGCTGTGTAAGGCAAATTAATGCCTACTAGCCCATGTTTCTGGTGTTCCATCTTAAAAGGGATGACAAACTGCATAACAATGGCCACAAGCTGAGAAAGATACAACCATTGCTGATTACAGTTCAGCAGAAAACAGGCAGTCTTCTCTAGACTCATCACTACAGAACTGATTCACAATTGTGTCTCTCCTCAGTCCAAATATGGTTGTCTGGGATCACAGCTGGACTGCCATTTGTGGGATCTAAGGGTCCCAGGGAAGTGAAAGAGGTGTATGTGCAACCACTGTAGTTTAAATATCAGCAAGGCCTTGCCAAACTACTCCTCTGTGAGTGTTCCTATGTACATATAAAAAAAGGTCATTTTCAGTTTTTGCAAGAAAGAACTCAGAAATGTTAATACAGAACACAGGCAGATTAGTACCTTTGTTTAACCTGTCACAAGTTCATATGATGAAAATTTTCAATAATTTCTTATAGCTCAGAAAGTCATCAGCACATTACTCCACCCTTACCTTGTCATTTTTCACTCTGTATGATGCTGAGCTATCAGTAATTGATGTCTGTGTATTTCGGAAGTTTCCTGTCAACAGCTAGAAAAATTACAAGAAAGAAGGAAAGTAAAATATTCCGGATAAAGTAAACCAATTTACCTATAATCTAAGCAAGAGAGAAAATTCAAAAGGCACGTTTTCATTTCCGATAATGGTCCCTGGCATAAAAATTAGCTACTTAATTTAACAAAACTCATCCAGAAAGAAAAACATTATCACCCATCTTGACAGCAGCAAGACTTGAGACAAATTTATTTACAAATATATCATCTGCATCTTGACCCTTGATATACCTTACCCATTTGAACTAAATAAATAATATAACTTAACATCCTAAATTTAGTATTTCCATGCACATAAATAAAGAACAAAAATATATAATAAAGAAACACAAAGTGTTTACACATCTTATATCCCATAGTGTCTTAAAAACACGAAGAGATTAAGATAAGGAGTCTTCTCTTTGACAAAATGGGGGGAAAAACCACAATAGAACAATTTGGAAAATGAACAGAAGAAACTGAGAAATTACTTACCCTTACAAACAGAAGAGTTTTCCCGGAGCCACAGAGCCCCAACAAAAGCACCGCTCTCCGGCTGCTCTTTCTGGACTGGACAAATTTCCAGATCACTACAAGCAAAGGTAGAAAAGAGTCTGTTTCTACTTATACCCAGGATTATCATGTTAGAGAATCTAATGCTTGAGAATTCCTTACAGAACTTAGTTGACCTCTAGGTAAAAAAATCAGAAGACGGTATTCTTCATAGCTGGCATTATCCCAAGAAAGGGTCGATTCCAGAATGAATCAGAATGAAATTTTACACTACATTTAACTTTCTTTCTTCTTCTTCTTCTGGATATCTTTTAAATAATTTTCCCCAACAAAACTGATAAAACTGAAAAATCTCTGATATTCTTTATTTATTTATTTATTTTACCAACACACTCAAAACTGTGAGTTATTACAAAATGTATATTTACAAGTTTAAACACAGTGTATCAGACATAAACCAATAAAATCTGGCTATAATGAAACACTTCAGGATTCTTAGTTAACTTACTAACTTTCTGTTAATAAATTAGAATGAAATTACTTAACTTGACAAATAAAAAGCATAAACAAAAAATCACACTGACATAAATTTACAGAAAAGTAACAGGCTTTGATGAATCTGACACTGCACTTGCAAAATATGTGAAGTGCAATTTCTCTAAGTTAGTAAAGCAAAGCAAAATGTGCTGCTTATATACCACCTCTAAGCACTAAAAGTGCTCTCCGGGTGGTTTACAATGCAATTATGCAGGCTACATATCACCTCCCTCCACCTGAGCACTCAAGGCACTGGAATTAAACTGGAATACATTACCAATTCAGTAAATATGGTCTGCAGGTCTACAAATATATTACATAATTTTAAATAATAAAAAATAGAAGTCATTGCACCAATACCATATTATACATAACTTATGATATTGAGAGGAGTTATAATTTTATTTACAATATTTATTTATTTACAATATTTTTAGCCGCACCATTACCACTGGCTTCTGGTAATTTTGCCACCTACTAGATCAATGTGTTTTACACCTCCATCTTCTAACCAAATCTAGAACTAAATCTGCTTTTAACTTCAGATAGCAAAGGTAAGATTAGATCTTGGCACCATAAGGATGCACATACTTTTCCAATATTTAAATCTTGAACCTTACGCAATTCTGAAAGATTTACTTCATGAAAAAGACACACATAATTATGCATTTATATCAATAATGTTAGGATTTCAAATAATACATTTAGTTCTTTCATCTGAATTTCAAACAGTAGATATAAACCTAAATAGTACATCTTAAATTCCCACCCAAACTGTCCCCATTTCTCCTTGTGAAATAACAAAAAGACAAATCTAGCAAACCACCTTCAAATAGTCCTACTGTTGCTCTATTAAGATATGACAACAGAAGAAAAGCCCAATCAGAGAGTCTTCAGTTGTCTTTGTACAAGCCTTTCTTTCTCTAGTGAAGCTGTGGTTCCACTTTTGCAATATGAGAATAATACTGATCTAGTCTGCAGGGCTGTTCGGCTGCAGAGCCAGAGGCTCAAGAATTCAATTCCCCACTGTGCATCCTGGGAGAAGAGCCAACCTGTGTAGCCTTGGATAAGGTGGAAAGTCTCAAGGCGCTCTCAGAAAACAATGGTAAACCACTTCTGAGTATTATATATTTAAAAAACCTGGAAAGGGTTGCCATAAAGCAGAACTGACTTGAAGGCACTTGTTGTTGTTCAGATTAATTAGTTAATTGCAATTAGCTCATTAGCCCACTATCATAAGTTTACGTTACATCGCAATTAAAACTTAATGAGAGAGAACTTCACTCCCTTTGCAACCTACCTAGAATTTTTTAATTATTTCTATATTTTGGGATGAATTCACAATTGGGGCAAGCTGTTATGTCATCATTTTATTTATTTATTATTTCAATGTGTACACTGCCACACAGTGCAACTTACTTTCTGGGCAGTTTACAGCAAAGCATACAAAGGAATAATGAACGAAAGATGAATATTAATGGATGATATCACTGTTACTACTATTACTGCTGTTCTATTCTTTATATGTTTGTGTTTAATTCTAATGTTACCTTGGTCACTTGAGATAAGCAGCTGCAGAATTCAGCATATCAAGATAATGATTCTGGTTAATTCTGAGGAAGAGCTGCTGCTTTTTCACAATCTATAACAAAAAAACTGCAGCAAACTACTTTGGGGGCTTGCAACTATAGCTAATATATCTTAAAGTAATTTCCCAAGATGTGCTTAGAAATTCTCTGAATGCTACTTTAAATCATTACACAAATGACACCTCATTATAACTGCAGTGCCAAATATGAGAGAAGTATAGTGCTGTTTCGGCTCTATGAAGGGTAAAGGAGCTGTGGCTGTGAGCCAGAATTAATGTTATGCCATAAGACTGGGAACTACCTGTACTGATCTAGGATGGTGGTCCCCTAGATCAGTGCAGTCCCCAACCTTGGGTAACCCAGCCGGACTGCAACTCCCAGGAGCCTCAGCCAGTATACCTCGTGGTGAAGGCTTCTGGGAACTGCAGTCCAAGAGCACCAGGGCTATTCAAGGTTGGGAATCTAGAAGTTGTTAAAAAGAAAGGAAGAAACCATGATATTGCCAGATGTTCATCCGTGTAGTCAATGGTTAAGGGATGCCAGATGGCCATCCTCCAAATGGCCACAAGATCCCTGCACAGCTATGCAACAGGAAAATAATGTGACGGATCCCATGAAAAAGCGCCAATGCACGAACAGCAGAGCCCGGTGCTTTTGCGAGCTGCACGTCCGGGAGCGGTCGAGGCAGTCTGGCTCTTCCCGGCCCGCCGGCGGAGCAGCGCTGACGGCCGCGGAGCCCCTCCAGCCACGGCGCCGGGGGCTCTGCCCTCAGTCCGACGGGATCCCCTTCAGGCACCTCCGTCCCCCTCGCCCGCCCGAAAGAGCCGACACTCACGCAGAACCAAGACGACCAGAACAGCCACCGCCACCGAGATCAGGAGCTGGACCGGAGCCACCTCTTGGGCCGGCAGCAGCGGCGCATCCTGAGGCGGCGGAGACCCTTCGCGGGCGGCGGCCACTTCCACGGTATCCATGGCCAACAGCAGCCTTGCGACGCGGCACGCGACGACGTGTCCCTCTCGAGAGCCGCCGCCGATTTCCGGTCCTTCACGCGCGAGGCCTGACGGGGCGCGTGCTCCTCGGCCAGATGCTTCTTGGGGATTGTAGTTCGCTCTCTCCAAACCCCCCCCCGCGTTCTTTTCTTGGCGACGGACAAGAGGTGAAGGTGGGAGGGGTCTTTAAAGGAAGGAGAATTTTTTGGATCGAATTAAATTCCAGCGAACTACAGTAGCTGCTTTTTGACAGAATGCTACACGACACTACACTAAAATAAAGTGTCGTTGCAGCACCTTGCGGAATGTCTCGCCCGGAGTAGACTTTGTCTAAAAGGGCGGGATAGAAATCTAATAATAAAATAAAATAAATAAATGTCCATGTATTTCTTATCCTATAAGCTTTCCATGCCTAGAGCAGGAAATGTTAGCTTCATCAAGCTTCCAGATGTTTATAGAATTATGGTTCCCGTCCTCCATGACATTGGCCAGGCTGCAAGGAGATGATGGGGACTGGAACACGGGAAGGGGACATTCAGGACGTTCTGCTCTTGAGCTGAAAATGACCTTTTATCTCGTCAAAACAAAAAACGCAATAGTCTTCAGCGAAAATGGCTGGACTATGATTTCTTAAAATCATAGCTGGGCAAAAAAAAAATCACATATAGAACAGAGAGAAAATGTTTTAAATCTTTCCATGTTGGCTGCCACACCTTCCTCCTTTGTGTCGGTTTCCGGAGAGGTAGCTGTGTTGGTCTGTTTCAGCATGTAGGTTTTCCAACTGCCTTTGCAAACAGGATTTTGATTTCTGGAAACACCAGGATGGGGAGTACTGGTTACTCGACTGGCAACTCAGAGCCCACCTACCCGTCCATTTTTTTGGGGGGGGGAGCTTGTTTTCAATAAGAACTTGGGTTTGAGGCTTCGACCCAAGGACCTGCCAAAACCCCTGGAAAATACCCATGGAAACGACCTGTTAGTCTTTAAGGTGCCACGATATTTTGTTCTCTCCTTCTTCACCCCAACACGGTTGTCTCAGCATATTAGGTAAATGAAGCGGGAAAAGATTTTTGTCCCAGAACCCTAAGAGTAACCCGCTGAGTTCCTACTGCACCAACTACACTGTTGAATTATATTGGGAGATGGTGTGGGTTTTTATCAATCGGTTTAACATCACATGGTTTTTGTGTTGCTGTACGCATCTTCATGGAACAACTTGTAAACTGTGTGGGTATGTTAGCACTTGGGTGCTCCAAGTCCCAATTTTCCTAGTTTTTCCTCTGTATTAGGAACATTTTATAACCTTAACTGTACTTTGTGCCTTTACTTGCCTTGAGAAGTGGAGTTTACTTGCCTTGAGAAAGATACAGCTGGAACCAGCAACTTTTATTCAGCAAAGCCTGAATCAACAGCCTACAACACAGCCCACAAATACCATAAGAGCCATTTTCTCTGTCCTTTAAAAATCAGTGTTTTAAATACTGTATAAGTTTCAAAGAGGCATATCCAACTTGTATCTACCACTCCTTTTGTGTAGTATCTTGCTTGATGAAGACTCCTGGTTGAACTAAAAAATGTGCTCATTTGGTTGGTCCTAGCAACAGTATTGTCAAATTGTGGATTTACTTTTGATAGCTTCCTATATACACTACTTTATGCACAACTTGTGGGTAAGTATACAGTTGGATTACTGCAACATGATTTCTTTGAGACTGCTTTCAAAGAAACCTCAGAAATTTCAGCTGCTCCAAATAACAGTAGCTAAACTATTATTGACTATGGATAGTTACAGGAAGTGCATGGTTCACTAGTTACAACAGCTTTATAGGCTGTTTCTGGGCACAGTTTCAAGCCATGTTACACCAAACATCAATGGCTTATATATATATATATATATATATTGGTCATACATTGTGTCAGTTTGGACTTATATCCATTCTGCCTGGGTGAGTCATTATACTGTGCTGATTTTTCGTTCCACCATTCGTTTTTCCACATACCAATGCAGCAATTTTTGCTATCTTTAGCCTCTTTTTCCTCCTACAGCAATTTTGCCCTCAAAAACAAGGGGTTGAAGAGAATTGTGATACACTGAAATAGCTAAAAAGCTGTATTTTGGGACAGTGTGATATAAATGATGTATAGACAGATGCTTCACAGGTAAGACAAGGGGAGGTCAGTTGGAAGTTATGGTAAACATGGCCAGGAAGCAGAGAGCATTAGAGGGTGAAGGCAAGATGTTGGGGAATACAAGATAACTGGAACGCATGGGTGGACTGGTGGACTCATGCACCTCAGTATCTGTAGGAGCATCCAGTGGCCTTTGCGTGTCTGCCTGCAAATACCAGGAGAGAACATTAAAATAAGTAGCAAAACAAAAACAACGACAACCATCCTGGAATAACTTGGAACAACACTACGACGTGCATGAGCCCTTAAGCATCCCTGTAAATGGAAACTAGTTCAGGTCTCTGCTCTGCTAGTATTCAGGGCGCATATTACTTTTTCCATGTGTGGTCTGGAAGTCTGTTCCACAACTTCGGAAATCTGACACATGGTTCTGCTGTGTCTATACCAATGATCAAAGCTAGGTGGGGTGTGAAGCAAACAAACCTACAGTAATTTCACTACTTTTCCATTCACTTGACAAAATCTGGCCTAAGCTAATATGAAACTAGCCTGCTTTATTAATATTTTCCTTCCTACTGTGAGCACTGGACTGTACACCCAACAAAATACATAACTAGTATTTGTTATGTAAATTCTTAATATTCATAGTCAAAAGTACATATCTCTAGTGTTATTTCTGCTTGTTAAGCTCCTTAATACTTTACAAGTGTTAAAGTATAACATCTGATGTGTTTTTGAAAAGTTGCTGAAAAAGGCAACCCACCTGATCAGAAATTTGCATCACCTCTGTAAAGAAAGGATACTCCATTTAGGGCTGAACGTTTAAGAAAAAATAATGAAGAAGTGAAAATAGAGGTGTGTAAAATTATGCATGATGGGGAAATAACGGACAGGGAATACTTTCATCTCGCTTTCCACAATTGAAGCATCTGAGGTCAGCTGGTTAAGTTCTAAAAGGAGAGAATCAGAAAAAATGAAAGAAAGTACTTGTTCATATAGTACACAGCTAAACAATGTGGAAATTCACCATTACAAGTTCTCATGGTCACCAACGACTGTGTTGGGAGAATTCAAGGTTTTGGAACAGATTTGATGGAATTAATTTGCTGCTGCAACATATGTGGTCTGACATCCACACAAGGTGATCAATTTGATCCAATGGGACTGATTGGGTAGCTGTATTATTCTTTGAAAGGTGTATTAGTTGATGTAATGGCACAATAATTTCATTCTTGCAACTCTGCTTGCCTGCTTGTATCTTTCGTCAATGAAATAAAACTTTGAACAATCACATGTGTGTTTTTCAGTTCCTCAATTTTTCCCTCACGGAGGGAAGAGCTAGAAGACCACAACTAGGTTTTCATGCAACAACTGCATGGTCCTTGGGGGGGAAAAAACTTGTCAAATTCATGATGGATAATATGATGGCTAGTGATCTGATAGATACCTTGTTTCCCCCCAAATAAGCCCTAGTTAAGTGAAACCCCACCCTCCACCATTGTGCAGCAACCAGAAGATGACATGACTGTAAAATAAAAGATCCCCCGAAAATAAATCCTAATGGGTTTTTTTGAAGCAAAAATTAATATAAGACCCTGTCTTATTTTCAGGGAAACACGTTATGTGTTCTCTCTAGCATCAGAAGCAGCATGCCTCTCTCAGGGCCACTTGCCAAGGGAGATGAACAGAAAGATGGCATTGTGCCCTGCTTGTGGGCCTTCCATTCACATGAGTTTGACCACTGCGAGAAGAAAGTGTTGGAGTAGATAGGCCTCGGCTCTGATCTAGCATGGCTTTTCTTCTGTCCTCATGTTATCCCCACAGCCCTTTCAACAGCACTATCAGGCTCATAAAAATAGCATTCTATAGCCATTCGTTACTTATAGGAAGTAATAACTTATAGGAACTTATAACTTCTGAATGGATCTTGAATCAGCACCATATTTGTCAGATTGGTAGTAGAGACTGTAGGCTTGCTTTCTGTGGAGAAATTTGGAAAAGTAGTTTTAAAGTTCAAAATTCTGTTTTTTAATAAACCTTCTCCTTTACTCTGCAATAATTGCATTTTGCTACCCTTTTTGAATGGATCATAGCAAATTTATTCCTTAAAAAGTGGATGAGTTCTGTTGTGTAGAGTTGGATTTTAAAGATACCTTGCTTTTAAAAATTGTCATAAATTCTGGCTGCACTTGCTTAATGAAGTGTTCTGCAGCAATTGCCAAAAATTCTTCCCATTACTTGTGGAAACAACATCATTGAAGTGATTGTGGCTTACTTTGGGGCATGATGGGACACAGGGAATTCAAGGAAAGAAAGGAAAGGTGGAAAGAGGGAGAATGAGGGGGAGATTGAGAGAGAGAGAGAGAGAGAGAGAGAGAGAGAGAGAGAGAGAGAAATTAAGAGAGAGAAGCCACATATTGGGGTGGAGGGGAGCTACAGAGGAAAAAAAGAGGGGCACCCACTGAGAATTTGTTGAAAATTAGCTATGATAATTGCTTTGTGTTTGGGTAAAAAGTGGTTAAGTGGTGAAAAAAGGAGTCATGTTTAGGAATTTCCCCTTGCTTGTTCTTTGTTGTTGTTTCATTTTGTTTTTGTTTTGTGAATGTAGTATATAGGAGAGGGTATCCTGTAGACCAGCGGTTCCCAGCCATTTGGGGTGTAGGTTTTGTGTGCGGGGGGTTGGGGGAACCCCTGTGCTTGCGGGTGAGCGTGTTGCGCTTGTAGAGTGGCATGTCGTGCCTGCAGAGGGGTTGTTGTGCTCGAGTGCATGCACGTATGCACAACACACCCACTCATGAGCACAACATGCCCCTCCACAAGCACAACATGCCCACCGTGCGTGCGTGCGGGGAGGGCGGAGATCTGTCTCCGCAGCCCAGTTCCGGGAAGCCCACAGACCGTCACTGGGCCGCGGACCAGGGGTTGGGAACCCCTGCTGTAGACCATTGTCTTCTTCTACAAGGCACAATGAGTAATGGAAATGACTTTAAAAACAGATTATAACGTGGCATGTGTTCTGGTGTTGAGAAAAATAAAGAGAGATGAAAAGTTAAACTAGGCAAACACAGGCCTTGACATTAGTGTTTAGATCCCAAAAATGCTTTTCAGTGTTGGTAAAATGTGAAAGTGCTGTCTTGCAAAAAGCTAATAGTAAATACTGAACTTATTAGTGATCACAAGCAAATAAGGGAATTGAAACTGTGAATGTTTATTTTATTTTTTGCACTAGCAGTGACATAAAAGAGTGACATGAGAGGAGAAGCTCAAATACTTTGTAGCTCTGTTAAGGAGAAAGTAGTGAGATAGATTCTCCAGGTTCAGGGAAGAATAACAAAAGATTCCGGGAGCTGTAGTTCATCTGATTAGTTCTGCTGGTGGAATACACAGGCCTTGAGGAGTTCTGTCAGAGAAAAACAGACAGACAGAAAAATGTTGTGTTTAGTTAAGAGGAGAAAACATTGTGGAATCTGTCTGACACATGGCATCTTGCATAGAACCCTTTTCACCACGGCCTGCTTAAACCTGAACTGAAATCTCTAGACTTGGGTATGAGTCTAGGGACAGGAACATTGGTTATGTGCCCTTCTGCTGTCTCCCCATGTTGTCATACCTTCCCCATGTTGGCCAATAGCACAGTTCTCTCTCCCACTATGTAACCTGGCCATCCCTTCACATAGAGGCACCCGTTATATGCCTGAATCGATTTCTACATCATACCTAGGAGGAAAATCCATAATTCATAGTAATGTATAATTAATTTGCAATAATTTTTAAAGTAGTGAAACCCATAATGGGAAGGATATTGCAAAAATGTTCCTGGAGTGTCATGCAACATCCTGTCTTTGCTTTGTAACATTAATCTGCCATATGGTTGAGATGCATAAGAAGAACTGCTAGGCTAAACTTAAATTTAAATGAAAAACTGAGTATAAATCTGCCATGCCTCAAAACAAACAATTGCATTCTTCCTTTAAAATAAATATTACCTTATAGATACAGTGAATTTAAAAAATACAACTATTTGCTGTTTTAGAATATGTAAAAATATTGTCTACACCCCAGCTTGGAATGGAGTTTGTGCCTGTGAAGCTGATAGTTGTCATTCATCACATTCTATTGTTAGTACCTGAAGGTAAGCATTGTTTGAGTCCAGCCACAGAAGCCAGGTAATTCTTCCCAAGATATTCCTTATAGGTCTTTCCTTGTGGAGTAGCTAAGCACAGAGTGCCATCTTTGAACAAACTGTCTTTGCTTCCAGATGATTGGAACATCTGGAAGTCATCTTTTTTTGTTCCATCAGTTCCGTAAAATTTCTATAATAAGGGGAATAAAAGCAGAATTCAGTTAGCCATCATCCCAAACATTTGCTTTCACCTGCTTCCTTATAGAAAAATCAGAGTGCCCACATTCCATTTAACTTTCATGTCACCCAGTTCACTGCTATAATTTTTTAAATGACCGTTTCTGAATTATTTGACTATGTCTACTCCTCCCCAATTTGCTTTCATGTGCCATTTTGTGCCAGGCATTGTATTGCCTTTGGATTTGCTGCAAGTACTTGTCACAGAACCAGGGTACCCTGTGATGCCATGTCACAGTCCCCCCCCATCAAGACCCCTTTATATAGTCACCCCACCACATTCCTCCCACTTATCCTGAGATGGGAGATCGCAGATGTGCAGACATGGGAAGAAGCTATGGGTCTTGACTAAGTACATCTCACTCCCCAAAATCTAATCTACCTTATTTGCCTAAGCAAAGAGATGGATAAGGTCTGGGTTTTTCTCCGTGAGCCTAAGCACAGCATATCTTCACAGGATTGCAAAATTCTCCTCATGAATCAGACGGAATCCCTGAATGAGAGGAGAACCCTTGCCTCCCTCAATCAATCTCTTCTTTCCCTGAAAGGCTGAGGCTGACGACTTGTCCAGACTGGCTATTTTGCTACAGGCTGGACCCGACCTAAAAGCATGAGTTGTGTTTGGGGGGAGGAGTGATGTGTCAATCCTCCCATCCCAGTGTCATTTTGGCTTCCACTGTCAACTTTGCCTGATCATCTGCAAAAGGTCAGGAGTAGTGAAATTATTTTTCTTCTACCTCCGAGATCACTGAGGAAGCAAGGTATCACTTCTGTTAAACTTATTTGTTTGTTGTTTGATTGATTGATTGATTGATTGATTATTTGATTGATTGATTTTTATACGTCCCAAATTAAGAACATATTTTTCTTTCTCAATTGAGAAACAGCCCACAGCCGTGGAAGTGTTTTCAGGATAGGAGGGGAGGTTCAGCTTTTGTTGTTTAAGTGTTTGCCCCAGCAGATTATAAATTGTTCAATTTCCAATATCTTGAAATGACTCATAAAACACTTCAGGGTAGCAGAAACTGACACTAGAATGAGCTGCAAGGTTCTAATTAGCCCATTCCAAATGACCACATTCACTAATACTTTATTCAAGCCTTCCAACCTGCACCAAAATAGTAAATCCTCTTGACAGGGCTTCAAAAAGATGTGGGACAATTCTTAAAGGGGAAGAATTGATCAATTTAAAGGGAATCATGTGTGGGCACCATAATTTGGTGTAATCCAAACTGTACTAAAGCGATCCATATATTGATCTATATGTCTGTGTGGACAGCCTCTGAAACAAATAACAATTTTCTCCAAGATCCTTTTATACATGAATGAGCCATTTGTAGCCTGCAATTGCTTAATAGCTCTTAATTTACTTTGATCACTCTACAAAACAAAAGCACCTCATTCCCATTCCTATCTTCAAAATTGGTATATCCTCAAGGAAGGAGGTAGACTAACTTCAGTTTCATAAATACAACAATTGGTGGCTGCTCTGATACACAAAAGATAAAATCAAGGTATTAAACTCCTGCTTTGAAGCTCTCTTGATAAAAGATAAACAAAGCAGCATCCCTTCTTTCTTTGAAATTGCACAGTGACAAGAAAACAGGAACAGGGGGTAGGGAGGTGAGAACAGACTATTTCAAGATGACTTTTTGCCTTGAAAATTTGTGTTCGCATGCACTGATAGGCACACAGAAAAGTCCAAAACTATGAATTTCATCAGTTATGTTCCCCTATGTTCTTGCTTTCTCCACAGTAATGCTGCTTAACCTGATGTAATTCATTTATTTCATCACTGTACAAAAATATTTTATACTCCTTTTCTGTAAAACATATCAAAAGTAATTTAATGCACTGTGATCTTCAAAGTTTATTTGTATTTATCCTACTTGTTTATATGCCAGCTTTCTCTAAGAACTGAGACTCAAACCAATTTACAATATAGTTTTAAAAACAACATAAATAAAATACAAAAATACAAATATTCAAATAGAATTAAACATACTGTATTATTAAAACAAATTAAAATTAAAACATTTTAAAATCTGACAGTTTAAAAAGTGATGAAACCACCAGAGAATCCTTACCTGTTGTTCGAGCAATTTTTCACGGACAACCTGTGCTCGTTCAGGACGTGTTACTACTCCATGAGTGGGAACTGTAGCCAGGTTACAAATTTCATGGTCCTGAATTGATCGTCGTTCACCATTGAGACACAGGAGCTGAAAATCATTAGGTCCATAGCCACTTGCCCATGCAGGTTTGTTGGGTCCTGCAAAGCCACCCAAGAAAAGATTACAAGGTTTTTAATGAGAAGAAGTGCATATTTGTTTTCTCACTTGCCCTTTGGTGGCTTAATTTCTTGGTTCCTTTGAAGCAATGTATGGGATCATCCAAACAGGACTGTTCTTTCCCTAAGATTGTTACAGCTAGACGATAGTCCCCCAAAAGTCATGTTTCCAAATTCTGAGCTCACACACATGAAACTGAAACAACTGCACCACCCTTTCCTGTTTACCTATGACTGCATTTCCCTACACTGAATTTTAGATTTCAAATACAGGACTTGTCGTGTCATCCTCTGAAGTACCCATGCACACTCTGTGAAATAAATGAGTAATTCACATACCTGTGTTCTCAATGGCTGTGGTTCCTTTCACAAAGGCCACATTTCCTTCTTCAATCAAGCACCTACAAAGCACAGGGAAAAGGAAGGGCTATGTGACATCTCTCAGTACCGGCCCACATGAGGGTACACCTATTTTTTTCCAAGTATTCTAGTTATGCTGAATTCAATTCAAATTTTGCAAGGAGAGATATAGTTGCAATTACTTCCATGGGCAGAAACCATTTGTTAATTGAATGAAGGATGGCAATATCTGTGAGATGAAAAGTGTTGTCCAATTTTGTATTGTTGATCTCACTGCAATGCACCCATTAACTAGACATGCACACATGTTAATAGTCATGGGGGAAATAAAAACAACTGTGCAGACTTAAAAGGTAGAGATGGGAACAAATCAAAAAACAAATTGCAATATTCATCAAAAAATGCCAATTCATTGCATATTTGTCGCTTCGCATTCATTCAATACAGATAAATACAAAGTGACAACGTTTTACCTATTCATTGATTCATTTACTCCCTTTTTGGGCCTCCAGTCTTCGCATTCATTCAATACAGATAAATACAAAGTGACAATGTTTTACCTATTTTTGATTCATTGATTCATTTACCCCCTTTTTTGGGCCTCCAGTGCCATCTGCAGTCTGCTACCAATCAGAAGCTCTGGGCAACCCTGGGAGGGACCTAGAGACTCCTGGATTGGCAGAGCAGGTGCCCAATTAGTGCTGCTGAAAGGGCTGTGGGGATGTTCTGCTTTCAGAGGCCTTATAAGAATTTTCCCTGAAGCAATTTCCCATTTCTGCTCAAATCTTGGCATGGACAGTTGCGGCTGCTGTGCTGTGTGCTTTAGGAAGACAGCAGTTTTTCACAGTGGCAGCAAAACATTTAAAATAATATTCCCTTCTTTCATTATTATCATATTATTATTTGAAATACTGGGAATTTGGGGAGGGCTATCTTTAGCTGGGTACATTTTAGTTCAGAGGCTAGCTATTTTTTGAGGTTTAGGATTAGGATAGGGTGGGTGATCTCTCTCTCTTTCTGTATTTCACCCTCTACCCTCCATTTATTCGGCAGCAAAACATTTAAAATAATATTCCCTTCTTTCATTATTATCATATTATTATTTGAAATACTGGGAATTTGGGGAGGGCTATCTTTAGCTGGGTACATTTTAGTTCAGAGGCTAGCTATTTTTTGAGGTTTAGGATTAGGATAGGGTGGGTGATCTCTCTCTCTTTCTGTATTTCACCCTCTACCCTCCATTTATTCCTCTCTCTCTCTCTCACTCTCTCTCTGTCTCTCTCTCTCTCTCTCTCTCTCGTGTGTGTGTGTGTGTGTGTGTGTGTGTGTGTGTGTGTGTGTGTGAGAGAGAGAGAGAGAGAGAGAGAG